TAATTAATTATTGAATTAATACATCTTGTCATTGTGTTGTGATCCCTTTGTTAATTAGTAGTGGGAATGAATTGGACTTGTACCCATTTTGTATAGGAGAGTACATATATATTATTATATGTTAATTGGTGTCAAATTTCATAATTAATTAATTAGAATTAGTTGTTCATTTGTCTTGCTCCACTAAGATTTGTGGTCCCTATACTCGAATATGATGGCTAGTTTCCTCCTTAGCCTAGCTTCCTAATCAATAGTGGTAAAACATATCAGCTTAAGATCGAGTTTGAGTTTTGCTGAGATCAGAGTATATTATTTTTTTTCATTTTTGTTGTTTTATATCTAGTTTTTGTTTATTTAAAAGTTATTGTAATTAAGTCATATTTGATATTTGATTGATGTTAATACACAAATGGTTATAACTATATTGATTGATTTAGTGTAATTTTACATATTGATCATATTAAGCAAATTAAATGATGATGATTACAACCACAACAATGAAAACAATGGATGGTTTTATGGGCTTGTTTGGCAATCAGCATTTTACGGCTAGCGGATTGTGTTAACGAATATAGCGGATCAGATTGTATTAGCGAGTTGAACCAGATTGGCTAAAGGAAGAGATCGACTGAAGCGCTCAGCCAAACTCACCCCCAATCTCGTTATATTGCACCTACGATTGAATGTTGGGATTGTAACATCATATTAACACCAACTGATGGAATAATATAATATTGCTATATTAATTATAATTATTTATGAGGGAAGATGCAGTCAGAGAAGAAAGAGTCAGGCCAAGAAAATAGAAACATTACGTGGCCTTAATATTAGGGGAGATTGCAACTTCAGAAAGGTGATATTATATAAAGGCTCAGGAAGACAGAGGAAGCTCACGCCAGTCTCAAACATAAAATCTCTCTTCTACATACATATTCTTTCTTCTTCCATATATTTCATGGCTATGGACTTACCTATGTACATGTACTACACCTACAACTTAGTGGATTACGGCTTGACTTAGCCTAAAAGGCCATGGTTTTCACCGTATTGGTTTCCACGTTAAATATCTTGTGTCATGCCTATTTATTTCTTATTTATTGATTCCCTGCAATCATCCTTTCTTAGGGAGATTATTGACCCCCGGGGTATGTAACTTCCCGTAGCCTTCCCTATTTTCTTGCCAACAATATATTAATTTAATATCAAAGTATAGATAAACTGGTAATGTCAATTAAGTAAAATGATATTGGCTTATAAGTATGGACAATATTTTATTGTATGAGATTTTTAATAAATAGTGTCGTGGTATACTGGTGTCATATTGGTAAATAAAGACAGTAATTGTTGATACAAATATACAATGCTATTTTAATTTGTCTCATTATTTTATAATTTTTGGAACCCAACCCCGGGGAAAATGTGAAAGTCAACCATTCTATTATTCCATTTCGCAGTGAGATTTTTCTTTTTAACTTAGTCTCTTCCAAATAAATTATATTTATCTGAACATAGATTTTGCAAAATCAGTGGCCAGATGTTGATCCCAGATTTGTGACTAATTTCCAAAATTTCAAGCGCATACGGATAATTTAATAACTAAGAGCAAATCAGTAAATTAGGAACCCAACAACTAATCCCAGAAATACGTTGCATAACACACAACACACAATCAGGGTCGATTTTTAGATTTTTGTGGCCCTGTTAAGGTAAATAAATAAGGTCCTATCAAAATTAAAATCTTTAAAACTAATACCGTAATTTTATTATCTAAATATATAACAAATATATATATATATATATATATATATATATATATATATATATATCCGTGCATCGCACGCGCACTGCACAGATAGTTGGACAATTATTTGCTCGAATTCAAGCAAGGATAACATAAAAAACATAATCGATACAACACATTTCATCAATTGCAATATATAATATTCGTTATAATTTAAAGATTATAACAAATCTTTTCCGTGTAACGCACGTGTAAAAATAAACATATTATGGAATAATAATAATAGTGTGCACAAGTTTGGAACCTTAGACCTCAAAGTTACAATTACAATACAATAAATACATGTTCCTACCATTTCTTTATAGAGCCTTTTAAATTTAATTAAAAACTTTTAATTTTTATTTCTAAACTAACTAGGTAAAAATAAAATATTGAGCTTCTAAAATTTGGGGCCCTGTGCGGTAGCCCAGCTTGCACAGCCCAAAATCCGAGCTTGCTAGACACACTACTGAGTCGTATCGACCTTTCATGGTGTTGATGCACTCACATCAGTCTGTCTCCCTACATAGGATTGGTTCCTCTATGTTTCCCCAGTTTCTAGGGTTAGGGCCACTAGTCTTAATCCCCTTTTCCTTTGAATCTATAGGGTCAGGCTCCCTGCCATTCTCCTTGCCATTTCTTTCTTTTCTAGTAGGGGGCATAGTTGTACTTGTTACTACTATTATTTGTACTTTTTATCTTATCCCGTGTTTTGGGAGAAGGATGATCGTCGCTCTATCTTGCCTGACTTTGTCAGTTTGTCAGATTTTTCATTATTTTAAATATTATTCTATGTTGCTTATTATATTTAATTAATTTAAGAACGTGTGAAACTGTAATATATATATATATATATATATATATATATATATATATATATATATATATATATGTAATTTCTTGTATTACAGCTGGGGTTGACTATAGTTTTGAGACTTGCCGGTAATGCTGAGACCGGCATATTGAAGCATACATACAAAATAATAGTTTTTGTTATAATACTCAGCTATGTCTCTCTTGCTATAGTAGGAGGTCCTCATGGTTGGAGTGCTCGCGCATATCCTTTGGAGGTGGCGAGAGTAGGACGTAGTATGGAGTACATTTGTAGTCAATTTGTTCTTATGATGTTGATTCCCATAATTCATAGCCTAGTATGTATTCTGGCATTAGTATATGTCGTATTCTCTTGGCTTGTTGTAAGATAGATTAGGATAAACGAATTTGTAAGAATATTTTTATTATGAATGAATGAATATCAATTGAAAAGTTGTGATTTCTGAGTTGAGGTGTATGAATGACGATGTTATGTTTTGGCAGGGTCGGTTTTTAGATTTTTGTGGCCCTATTCGGGTAAATAACTAAGGCCCTACCAAAATTAAAATCTTTAAAACTAATACCGTAATTTTATTATCTAAAAATATAACCAAAAAATATATATATATATCCATGCATCGCACGCACATTGCACGCGCACTGCACGGATAATTGGACAATTATTTGCTCGAATTCAAGCAAGGATAACATAAAAAAAAAAAAAACATAATCGATACAACCCATTTCATCAATTGTACTATATAATATTCGTTGTTATAATTTAAAGATTATAACAAATCTTTTCCGTGCAACGCACATGTAAAAATAGACATATTATGGAATAATAATAATAGTGTGCACAAGTTTTGAACCTTAGACCTCAAAGTTAAAATACAATAAATACATGTTCCTACCATTTTCTTTATAAAGCCTTTTAAATTTAATTAAAAACTTTTAATTTTTATTTCTAAACTAACTAGGTAAAAATAAAATATTGAGCTTCTAAAATTTGGGGCCCCTCTAAAATTTGGGGCCCTGTGCGGTAGCCCAGCTTGCACAGCCCAAAATCCGGACCTACACACAACAACGGGTTACACAATTATCTAGTGAGCACAAGCTTTCCAGCGGATTCAATAGACCCGTTGAGTAGTCTCGTTAAACGCACGAGTCTATTATTGAACCTGTTAAAATATCTCGTTATCTTATCACCAACTGAACGGAAACAAATAAAATTAAAATACGTTGCACCGTTGTGGGCGAACATGCAAGTATTATTGTCCTTGTTGTCCTTCAGAAAATTGAATTTCTTGGTTAAGAACATGCATAACGCAACCTTCTTTCTGTTGCGATCGATCCCATCTGATTCTTGTTGTTTCATTGCTTCAAGACAAATCCCCATTGCAGATAACACATGCGTCTTGTCACCGTTTGTCATATGTTAATCATGTTAGAGCATGTAATATACACTAGTATTTTATATGCGCGATGTATAAAATTATATGTACAATATTAACACTCAACGTTAATTATATTTAAATAATTTTTAAAAAAATAATAGTATATAATTTTATTTTAATTCATAATTATAAAATTCATATTATATTTAAAATATAGTTGATAATTTGGATAATAATTATGGTATAATTCACATTATTAAAATAAAATTTTAAATATGATAAATTAATAAATATAATTATGGTTACATTTTATTAAAATCTAGATTAAATTAAAACTATTTCTTATATTACTTCAATATATAATGTTAATCTACATTATTACTATATTGAAGAATGTATAAAAAGATGTACATATATGGTAATAATAATGAAAAAAAATTACATAAGTTATAACAATAGAGATATTTTTGTTAAAAATAAAATTATATAAAATACTTCTATATCATAATGTATACAAAATTAACAGAAAAACCGACATAAATTAGAAGTATAACCTTAATTAAGACTTATTATGTCTTTAGACTAGAAATATAATTATGAATCCAACTATAAACTTAACTTTTTAATTGAGACAGAACACATGTTTAAATTTAGTATCATAAGTTCAAATGTTCACATCACCCAATAAAAAAAAATATCGTCCATTCTACAAGATGGGAGACCAAATAAAACAGAACGAGTATAGACGTACGGGAATTTGTTCATTCCCGTAAGTGGAAGACATTATCAAGCTAAAGTTTTCATAACCAAATTATTATACCTCTATGTTACACAAGGTGAGTCACATATACATATTCATTTTTAATACATCACAAATTCATTTTTAGAGTAAATTAAAAACTTACAATATACTGTAATATACCGTATGTCAGTAATCCAAGTTGTCTACTTCATTCAAGGTAAAACAATTAGGAAATGATCCTGTGATAGCAAGTGCACAATAAGGAAAGTGACATCCTTGATGAAAAGAATATAAATCCACTATACAAACTTTGATTGAGTAGATAAAAGACAGCAGAGAACAATGAACGATACAGCAGCTAAAGCAACAGGAGCAATTATCTTCCTTCTTTATCTTCTTTTTGGGTTTTTTTCTCACGTGGGGAGAATATTAAACAAGTCAAACATACAAAAATGAACATAACTTGAAATGGATGTACAAATTGGCAGCAGCTTAGAGAGCATCGCGTTGGGTCGATTGCGCTTAAATCCATTCCAAGTAAGATAGGCATCATAAAAGGCCAACTCCAGTCCATTATCTCACTCACCCCGTTTCATCGTTAATCACCGTCCAACCTGTCAGCGAATAGGGTGGTACTGGGTGATTCCGCGCTTTGGAGGCAACTTCCTCAATATGAAAAGGACAAGGGAAGACGGCAATATCTCCACCAACTGCAAACAGTTTCAACGATTTCATTACCCAACAAAACATACAAGTAACATTTCCTTCTTAAACAACAACATTGGCCCATGTTTTCAGGCTTCAAGATTTCAGACATTTAAAAGAGGGAAGATAGAAAGCGAGACACTTAAAACTTAATGCCAAAAAAAGAACCAAATGTAGACAACTCACTAAACTTAATGCCATAACACAAAACTCTTCACATAGACAAAATGCAGAATGCAATAATTTCTCATTTCTAATTCTCATTAAACAGAAAAAGTCAATTAAAAGGTCATACGCCAGTAAACTTACCAAGTAATACACTAAATTTAAAATAGGATGCTCTAAAACCTCTAGATCCGCTGCTTCATCAAATGCATCGAAGCACATCTGTGGCAAAGATAGAACAGTACAACTACAATTAGGGATACAAAAAATTCCAAGCAATAAACAGCATTTTACCTTAAATAACAATATATTAGCTAGTATACTCAACTATTGAGTTCGAAGACTAAACTCTCATCATTATATTACAAACACATTAAGAGCTCTCTTTCATTCCAAAGTCAAGAGCTTAGGTATTGTGATTAACAATCACTGGATAAAATCAGAGAAGTGACATCAGACAAGAACTAATGAAGTTGTCTCATACTCTCATGGCAAGACAAACTCATGATTACTGGCGAAATTTATGAGAGTACAGGGACAAGTTCATGAAGAGTTTGGCATCCAACAAAGAAAAAACATAAAAATTTAAATGAACTTTCATTTCTTGACTTCTTATCTGCAATTAGCTGTGCTAATTATAGCCCAAAACAATTTCCTGCTGGTGCTGCAGCAAGGTTTGCTCAGAAAATGTTTACGAGTTTTAGACAATGGCAGGTAACAAATCGGTATTGCATGCACTCTGTTACTGTAAGATCTCCTATCCACCCATCAGTTGTATATAAGTAGATTAAGCGCTTTGTATAAAGTAGCTTGAGCATCATTTTAGTAATTAATATTATCAACTACATTATGCTACACCATTAAAAATAAAAATAAAAACTGCTTTAATTACAGTGCACAACAATACCCTCATTTGTATACAGTTCATATAAAAACTCTGGCTTTATCAGAATATTAGAAAAGAATGGTGATGCAAATGCATAAATATAGGAGTATAATGTCCTGATTTAGCCAATATTTAATGTAACATAAACTCACCATTATGCATCTGATGAGGAAGCACGAAAAGCAAATTGTTGTGACATAGCCAACCTGTAGCAGTCAAAATGTAAGGAAGCAATAATAAGGAATCTTGCAATCAAGAGACTTTGAGGTGGGAATTTATAGTAAGCTGCCATAAGCCCATAAGTAAATACATGGCAAGTACATTAACAAATATGGATTGCATCAGGCTGATCAGCCATGAAAATGTTAACTGTTTAGTGGCAAGATCAGAATGCCGAATGACCAAACATCTTAATCTGTAAGCAAATCATGCTGTATGCTTCTCTTTCTTTGGTATATGTTATTCATTGCATCATCTAGGAGATGGTTTCCATATCTTCAATTTTTGCCAAAGGCATACTGTATGGGGTAATTTTCTATGAAATACCCAAAAAGGTACAATAAAAAGGAGAAGGGACATAATACCTCCTGTAGCTTCTTTTGTCTTCCTTTTGATTCAACAGGAAACCGCTGCAGCATCAGGAAAAGCCTGGAAGAAGGTAAAATTGGTAAAGATGAGTTGCATAGGAAGCAAACATGTGGACATGTATGTACATGAAGATAAATTACACTAGTTGTTGCATGTCTCATACTGAATCATCAGCCTGACAATCATGAATTCTTGCAATCAAGGCTTATAAGATAAAAATTGCTTTCCTTGTGGATATTTTGTCTTCACACAACTTTAAGATGCTAGTTGCATTGTATAATCTTTGAAGATTTGGCATGTTACAGAAATAGGAAGTTCTCAGGAAAAGGTGAAGTCAAAAGTTTCTGGAAACAGCTATTGGAAGATAACATCATTCATTTCACAAAGGGAATACCCTTCACTCCCGGAAAATTTTCTTGGGACACAGAAAAGATTGAAAAAGGTAACTTTCACAAAAGACAAGAACCCAAGGTTAGTAAAAGTAAATTACTGTTTAATTGTATGGACACCTACAAAAGTTCATTTTTTTTTCTTCTTTTTTTGGGTGTGTGTGTTGGGGGTGGGGGCCAGATAAGTTTGGAAATTCAGATCAATGACAGGAAAAGAATAGGACTATACCTTCCACCATAAAGTAAAAAGCCCAGGGCCGCAAATAAGGAAACACCTGCAATTGAGATGTATTAGTGCATTGTAGTATAGCTTTACACTTAACAGTTATGTCACAAGGTATCATAGAAACCTGCAAAGAACATTTTAGACAATATGACCAAAACTGGCATAGGCTTCCACCATAAAACCAACCACAAAAGTATCTGCAAGACATTGAAAAGAGGAGTTCATCAGCCAACATATACCTGTTACGTATCTAGTGGTGAATAAATTAATAAAAATAAACATATGTATATCAGTATACGCAAATGTGTATTTTTTCATCCAATAAGCTATTTAAGTAAGGTGTTCTCTTATGTTAAATTGTTAACTACCATGTAAGCAAGAAATGAATATAAAAAGCAATAAATATTGCCAAGTTGTTATTATAAAGCTTTAGGAGAACTGTGCCAATGTATCATCAGTGAAGATTGCCAGGTTTTCATTATAAAGTTCAATTGAGGTATACAATATAGTTCTTTATTAGGAATATATTAGCAATTATGGCTCTCATTTGAAATATATATATATATATATATATATATATATATATATATATATATATATATATTATCTTCAGTTTTTTTTTTATAAAAGACCTGATGATAGAGGGTAAAAGCCTGAACATATGTTGTAGATATCTTACCACACCCAGAGTTAGATCCTATCTAGAATACCATTCTGAACGGTTATGCTGTTGCCTAAAAATTACACACTATTTTCCATCTTTGGCACATGCTTATTCGTTTGTCCTTTCCACAATGATTTCTAAATCCATAACTTCCCATTTCTTTCTATTTCCCTACAGTATGGTATGAAAGCAACATCAATATCAAAGGGCATAGGTGTCATTCATGCACTTTATGAAAAAGTGCACTCCTAATTACAACTTCAAAAATAATATAAGGTTATCAGTCTAAAATGAATCTTCATTTTGCTGGATGCATTTTCTTTTTACTTTTTTTGGTTGGGGATATGGACGCTGGTATTTGTTTCTACAATCAACAAAAAAATTCTAAATGTGTAGTGGCGGTACAGAATCATCACCTGGATAGCATAAACAACACCATTAATTGTGAAGAAAGTAGGCCTGAGCCCATCAGTAGATACAGCTCGTGCCTGCAAAGATGAAACAAATCAGAATATCCTCCGGAAAAGAATAATACCCAGAAAGAAGATACGAATATCAAACAAACCTGATAGTATATTTCAGCCCAGAACAACACTAACAATGCATAGGTTGTGAAGAACGCAAGACTTGGCATATCAAGCAAAACATGTTGCATAATCTACCAAAGATGGAAAAGCAAGTTACAAACTGCATGGAAAATTCAAATCTTTAGCAACTAATGATTTTGCAAATTGAGTATGTCTAACCTCAGGGTGCAACTTTTGGATGTCCCGACGAAAAGCAAATACCAAAGAACGAACTGCAAAAGTACATTTATACTTGTCAAACAAAAGTTACATTCGAACTCAGTCAATACAAAAGCCAATGATATGAAATAATTGTGAAGTAAGACAGCAATGTAGAACCTCTGGCAATACAAGAGTGCAGTCAGTTGCCTAAAAATAGTCAATTGTGAAATGAAATTAACAGTGGAAAAAAGGAGATACAAACCTCCATTCACCACAAAATTAAGAAAATGGAAAACTTTCTGAGTGGTCCAACCATACTCTGGCACTCTCATTTGAATGCGAATAAGTTGTACCTAAAATTGTCAAACTACAAGTATTAGAAGGCATATTCATAGCATAGAAACACACACATACACAAAATGTTGAAGAATGTCAATATTCAACAATGACACAAACAATGTTAGTGGCACATGTATAACAATTACCCACATACTACATTTATTGGTATAAATAAAAATAAAAAAAATAAAAAAGCACAACTACAGGATTTACAAAATGATTTCACAACCAAAAGCATTCTAGTAAAACAATAAATCCAAAGAAAAATAGATTTTCTTCATAACAATTCAATGAAATTTAATAAAAAAAAAATGAAAAAACTCCGTAACGTGATTATTAATTTAAGAAATGAAGAATTTCCTTAGAGGCATAAACCAAGAAATCATTACTATTACTAGTAGTAATAATAAATAATAAATAGCCAACAACGTCAATGTTCTCTTGTCAACATCGATTAGGTAACGAATTTGTTCTGAATTTTCTAGTTTTCTCAGAACCTTTAAGCAATCCAAATTGTTTATTAAATTTCAATCCCCCTTCAGGATTCAATAGGATTATCCATTTCGACATTTCAACAACACGTCACACATCCAATTCCATGACAGACATATAAAACCCTAGCCAATCTGAATATAATAAGAAAAGAAATGCTACGAGATTAACAAAAATTACAACATTTTTTACACCGGAAACGATTCCCAAACAATACCGAAATGGATTAACGAATTACATACGAGCGCAACGGCGGCGACGAATCCGTAGAGAATAGCGAGGACGTGGAAGATACGGTCTTGCCAGAGAGGAGAGTCATTGACGTGGTCCCACCAGCTTCTGGCATCGGTGAGGTCGAGCGCTACCACCGCCGACGGGCTCAACGCCATTCCTGCCCGCCCCATCGCCGTCTGCAACCTCCGATCACGATCAGATTTATTTCCTCTTTATTTCTTATTTTTCTTCCCTCTTTTCAACTTTTTCGGTCCCTTTAAAACGGCCGGCGAGAAAGCCCGTATTGAATTTTGGTGGTTTTTAAGGCTCGGCGGTTTACTATATAGGGAACTATGATCCCCTGCTCCTCGGAACACCGCAACTGCCTGGAGTTTGTGCATTAAACGATGTTGTACGCCGAGATGCAGGGGTAAAAATGTCCTAAAAGTACAGCTGGCATAACATGTAGGGACAAGATGCGCGTGCACTGAGGATTATGCTACACGTGGGCTGAGGATGAGGTGGGGCCCTGTTCTCAGCTCTGGGCGGTGAGTCATCCCTGTATTTCAGTTACGTCACGTGAGTAGCTTCCCGTCTCCTCTTTGGATTAAGATTGAACATTACGGAGAATGTTCGATCAAATTCTTTTCTTCTTGGTGAGTCCAAGTCCAAATCACTATTTTCTATTTTAAAATAATTTTTTTTTGTTTCATATCTATAAACAAATATAATATAATTTTCCCTTTTAATCATTTGACAAGTAATTTATTTAAAATTGAAAAAAGATCAAATAAACTTACGAATATTACTTAAGAAGTTAATTAGATCATTAAATTTTCAAAAGGTTACAATTAAGCTCTTAAATATATAATTTTAGACTATTGAAATTCAAAAACCGGATAGTAACCATTACAGGTCACTAGAGTTTCGTCGAGATTTCAACCATATTCCGACAAAAAACATTAGCGAAACGGTCGCTGGTGTCGTTTGGTTGTCCTCTCCGGCGAAGGAGAAGGCGAAGGCGACCCAGGTCACCTCCTCCCACAGAGGAGAAAGCGACTCTTCTCTTTCGCCGGATCTGTTCGCCTTCTCCGACAAAGGAGAAGAGTGGCCTGGGTTGTCGGAGAAGGCAACCAAACTATACCGATGACCGTTTCGTCGGTCGGAATCTCGTTGGATAACCCGCCGGAGACCTAGTGACCTGAAATTATAGGTCACCAGTCGATTTTTGTTTCCCAATGCTCTCAAATAATATGTTTAAGGGCTTAATTGCAACATTTAAAAATTTAAGAACCTAGTTGACGAGTCATGTTCAGGGACCTATTGGACATTTTTCCTTTAAATTAAAATAAGTTTATCAAGATTTTAAAATTATTTACTTTTGATCATTAGCTTGCATTTTTGGGTATTAACTCTTAAAAATATTTAATTTTAATTCAAAATATCATTAAATGCAATAGACTTGGTCAATTTTTTAATAAAACAATGATAGTTTCAGTACTTATTATTGGCAAGTTTAGTCAATTCAAGATATTATGATTAAATACTCGTTTGTTTAGATAATATGCGGTAAATCTTAAATAAATAAAAGAATGTGAGAATTCCTTCATGGATGGCATAAAGGAAAAAAAAAAAAAAAAAACTACAATCCTTTTTCAATGTTACAAGTTAAAAGGTTCTACTATTTCTTTTGAGATGTTATATGTACACGGTTGAGTCTTGGAATCATTTCTTCCTAAAGAAAATGAAGCTCAAAAGGGGAGAAAATAGGAGCTAGCTAGATGAAGCGTGTTATAAGACATGTTGGAGTCATGTGAATATGTGATAATGCAAAGTCGGTTACCTTGTCTAAAAATTCTTTTTTTTTTTTTTATAATTGTAAACCTCAAATAAAATTAACCATATTTCTTTTTGAATAATTAATTATATTTAATTCTTCATATGATTTCCAATATATTGGGAAACTTTATTGGCCTACTCTACATGATACACTCAGGCTGTTACTGTAGTAGTTATTATTATTATTATTATTATTATTATTATTATTATTATTATTAAATAAGCTATTATTATTATTAGTGTATAGGGAAATCATGGGTAGTTATAATGCACTAATGGGCTAGTGGGTAGTTTTAGAATTTGTCTGGTGACATTTTGGAGTTAGACTATCATTAGAAGTATAGTCATTTGGAGTTAGGCTGAATGTACATTATTTAATAGTATATATATAAAATTATATACTTTTAGTACTTAAATAATGTATTTTATATATTAAAGATGTATTTTTTCTTTATGGTCCACACAATCGTATGGACCATGGTCCATATAAATTTTTTTTTTTTTTTTTTGAAAACAAATGGTCCATGTAATAATGATTGTCCAAAATTTATCTACAAATTATACCTAAAAAATTCTCTTAGACAAGATAACCGTTCTTCTTTATACATAAGGTAACTACTTTCTCCACTTTTTGTGTACAAGATTCCTAAATCTCATATCATACTCTTTGTATAGTTGATTAGTTGTTAAAACCTATAGTTTCACAACAAAGTTAGACTGTAATGAATAAGGGTGAGTTTATTGTTTTTTAGTTCAATTTTACCATGTCACTATTTTTTTAAATGGAATTTTAAAAGTACTTGACCAAAGATCGAGGTATAAATAATCATTGTCAAATTACATTTTATATATATTTAATTGCATGTAATATTAACAAGGCCTATTAGCTCAGTTGGTTAGAGCGTCGTGTTAATAACGCGAAGGTCGCAGGTTCGAGACCTGCATGGGCCATTTTACACCCCCTTTTACCGTTCCTTTACCTTACGTCAACTCCGGAGTGTACTCGTTCGCTGACTAATCCCCAAAATTTCTATCTAAATTTCAACTTCATTTCAATTCAACCCACAACTTATTATCTTATTAAAATATTTTAAAATAATATTTAAATTTCTTACACAAAATAAAATAATAAAATTCACTAGTTATATTAAAACATAAAATAATAAAAATATTTATAACAAAATTATTAATCTTTTAAAAAATAAACATTATTATTTTAGAATTAAAAATAATAAAAAATTAAAATTCTATAAAATTTTATATTTAACTTCATACTAGTACTTATTTTACTCTATATGTATACATGGTAGAACATGTGGGGTTCTAAGCGAATTTTGCACAAAAACTAGAATCCAACCCAACTCATCTCAAGTTTAATTTTTTAAAGATCCGCCCCTGACTCACTACATACCCACTATCACTCAAAAAAAAAACTCGATCTATGTGAGAATATAGGCAAGACAGATTGAAAATGGCATCCTTAATATAAAACAACATTCAAATTGTGTAATTACAACCAACATATTATGTACCTTCAGTTAACAGATTATATCATGTAAATAAATAGAATGTACATAATATGTTGACTAGATGTACATAATATACTAATCGAATGTACATAATATATTAATTGTTGTATATATGTAATTTGTTAACTGAATGTATATAATCTAGACACAGTGGACCATGGTCTTTTATTATAACAATTGATTAATTTATGTACCTTAGAGGCTTAGAGGCTTCAATTCTTGCCAAACACTTTGTGCTCAGATGATATGTAGTGACTGTCATATGAGGTCATGAGAATTGAGATTAAGCCTCAGTGGAAGCGATGTTGACTCTTTGTGCTTCAATAGATTGAGAAAATATAAATGAACAGATACTACAATATAATAGAGTCAGTAACACTCAAAAAAAAGTTTCAATTCTTCGTTATTTTATTTTTATAAATTAGAAGTTAGAGGCAGTAAACAGGTCGAGCCAGAGGGTGGTGGATGGTGGGAGAGTCCAATAGCCAACTTACTATTTAACAATTTATCATAGAGCAAATATTAATTTTGATCTCACGAGTATTAGCAAAATAATAATTTTAGTCAACATGTTTAATTTGTACCAATTTTAATCCACGATTATTGTTTTAGTATCAATTTTCATCTACGACTACTGTTTTAGTTTCAAAATTCATCACGTCAGTCACTCATTTGTTTAAGACATATCGAAATCTAAAAATTTTAAGGGTATTTTTATCCTTTTTACCTAATTTGAGCATGAATAATGAGATATAAGCCATACGATTGATCATATTCGCAGTTCTCCTTCTCATCCTACCTTAATTTGAGGAGGAGAAATGTGAATTAAGATCGATCTTAGAACTTAAATTCCTTTATTAATGCTCAAGTTGAGATCTTAATTTGAAAAAAAAATAATGAAAATACCCATATTTCAGCATATATGAAACGGATGGGTGACCGTGTGATGAATTTTAGCACTAAAACAATAGTTGTGGATAAAAATTAGTACTAAAATAATAGTCGTAGATGAAAATTGATAGGAATTGAACATGTGGATCAAAATTGTCATTTTGCTAATACTTGTGAGACCAAAATTGGTATTTGCTCATTTAACATATTTAACAAAAAAATAATTTAAACTCAATTTTCTTTACAAATTAGTACATTATGAATATTTTATAATTTTTTTAAAAATAATTTCATATAATTTCTTAAATAAATAAACCTAATAGTTAATATGTTAATAAACAATAATTGTACTGATCTTCATGTTTATTATAAATCAATGAACTTAAATAATTTAATAAAATAATTATTAAAAAAAAGCCAATATAAATCAATAAACAAATTGACAGTTTTGGTCCACATGTTTAATTCCTACCAATTTTCATCCACAATTATTGTTTTAGTATCCATTTTCATCAAAGACTATTATGTTAGTACCAAAAATCATCACGTAGGTCACCCCTTCATTTAAGATATGCCAAAATCTAAAAATTTTAAGGACATTTTCATATTTTTCAACATAAGGTTCTAATTTGAGCAAGAATAAAGAGATTTAAGCCCTAAAATCGATCCCAATTCGCAGTTCTCTTTCTCATCCTACCTTAATTTGTGGAGGAGAATTACGAATTGGATAGATCTTATGACAAAAATCCCTTTATTCATGCTCAAATTGGGATCTTAATTTGAAAATGACGAAAATATCCTTAATAATTTCATTTTTCGGCATGTTTTAAACGAAGGCCAACGTGATGAATTTTGACACTAAAACAATAGTCGTTGATGAAAAATGGTACTAAAACAATAATTATGAATGAAAATTGGCAGGAATTAAACATGTAGACTAACACTATCATTTTACTAATATTTGTGAGACCAAAATTGATATTTTCTCCATTTACTTATTATGTGCTAATACGGTAACAAAAGTTTATTATGCCGGTCAAACCAAGCCATACCCTTTCAATATAATACCAACTTGCTAACCTAATTTGTATCATACACTTATTTTCCATTCTTATTCATTATTTTAAAAAATATATATTTTTATCAATGTGAATTCATGTGGCAAAAACCTAAAAATTACGTCTTACTGTTAAAGTTGGAATTTGAGTATTAAAAAAAAATGGTTGCCAACTAGAAACCACCCTACATTTCTTTATTTTTTTTTTTCCCATTACCATAGCAATATAATGGTCTGATTTCAAATTGTTGCTCTTGCAACATTTTATTATACATTAGTTTAAAAATGAAAAAAAAAAATGTAAGAAGATTCTATACTAGAGAAAAATGAGATAGTAAATGTTGACGTGAAATATAAAGGGATTCACAAAAAAAAAAAAAAAAAAAAAAAAAAAAAAAAAAAACTTTAAATGAAAAATCACAAACCATTAAAGATGCTCTTAGTATGTAACAAAATGAATCATAATTTTCTCTTGCTAAGTTTACATATAAAAATCGTGTTTTTTTTTTCCATTTTACTTAATTAAAGTATATTATCACTTTACATATTATCTAACATTGCATGTTAATCTTTAGCATGCACTAGATCCAAAACTCAACATCTAATACCTTAGTTCATCACATAAAACTGTGACAAAATCAATAATAATAATAATAATAATAATAATAATAATAATAATAATAATAATAATTTGTCTAGTTCCATTGATTAAACTTATCTATAATAGCCATTTGTTGTTTCTTTAGACAACCAGGGAGATTGAGAGCAAAGGAGTGGGACGTACGTGACTTATTAGAATATTGGAGAGAAGAAAGAACAAAGAATCACTTAGCTAGAAATGAAGAAATTCGATCGTATGGGATTAGCTCATTGGTTGATCAGTAGACAGAATTTGAGACAATAGACTAAGGTTTGAACATCGACAACGGTGGTGTGGAAATTATGTTCAGAGTGAACAAATCCCTCGTGTGCATCAGCATGTGGCTATATCTGCTGAACCATTGAATTACTGTGATTTACATCCTCCAAAATGCTCTTCACTAGTAAATGAAATTGATTGAAGTTGGAAGTATATTGATCATTTGATTGCACCACTTGATAACAATAATAATATCATAATATGCAAGCCTAATTCACATGGTTACACACTCTTTTAAGTTTTAATAATGAAGATTCACCTTATTCTAATGATGATGAGGTGTTATGATTTTGAATACTTAAATCAAATTCAAAAAACATTTGATGTCAAAGGTCATATCTAAATTTATATACAATCTTTATATATATATATATATATATATATATATATATATATATATATTTATTTATTTATTTATTTATTTATTTATTTATTTATTATCATAACATGAGGGGTGACCCTCGGGGAGAGGGCAGCTAGCCGCTAGCCCTAACACCTTTGGCCGTATTGGCTTGAACACCATCATAATAGACTCACCATTCAATAATAAATATCGATATAGATTCCTCTTGTATTAAAAAGAAGAAGAAAGGTATATACAAATTTGATAAACAATTCAATAAATTTACACATCATATATCATATATATATATATATATATATATATATATATATATATATATATATATAAAAGAGGAGAAAATTTCACTTTTTGTAATTAACTATTATTGTGCATTGACATATTTAGTCATAGTCTTTTAATTATGTCACATTACATGCATCATTAACTTCCATTTTTTTACCACAATTAATCATCATTTTAAAATGTTGTTATTCTATCGTTTAATAAATATGACTAATATGTAATTTAATCATTCAATTAAAAGAGTTGACAAGGGATTGAGAGAAATTATAACATATTTTGGCAATAGGTTTTACTAATAAAATTATATGTTAAACATCTTTATTAAATAGTGAAATGACGAAATTTTAAATGGAGAACTATCCGTGACAAACAAATAAAAGTCAAAGATGTAATGTGACAAAAATAAAATAATATTACTAAATAATAGATTACTAAAAGTCACATTTGAATTTGTATTACCAACACAAACTTAAAATCTTTTCCAAGTTTTTAAAATTTTTTGTACTTAGCACAAGAGAACATATAATATAATAATTGCATTTCCAAAAATATAATTATTATGTTTGATTTTATTGGAGAAAGGATAATAAAATGAATAAAAATTATGTATTATTTTTTCTTACGAATGAATAAAAAATGTGTAATATAATAAAAATTAACCACCCTTTGTCACCAGGCACCTTGAACAACGAATGTGGTCATTACTGCCTTCATCTGTCCATATTTGAACCTAAATCTTGACCATCACGGTTGTCTTATTTATTTCACATATAAATTATATTAGTGTTAAATAAAATATAAGTGACATCAATTTGTTAATATTATTGGCCGCCCTTATTAAGAGTCTCGAACTCTAAATTTTATAATTATGGAACTAATAATTTGACTAAGTTCTTCTCCCAATGATTTGACTAACTTAATTGGAAAGTTAGTAACTAGTAATTTATCTCATTCTGTGATTCTTTTTTCAAAAAAGTTGAATAACTCTAAAGACTCTATACCCCGAACTGATCGAGCATTGCTCTTGAGCATATGCTGTCCAACTATCAGACTTTTAGTTGAGATGAGGCATATGTTTCAATTTGGTATTCTCTGCGTCACCCGATAAAAAAAATAGACTATGGTCCACGTGTTACTTGGAGCCCATCAAAAGTAATCGGCCCGTGAGGGCGTGTTGAGCATATACAGTCCAACTATCAGTTTAAACTTTTAATTGAGATGAGACACATGCTTCAATTTAGTATTCTCCGCGTCACCCGATAAAAAAAAAAAGAGACTATGGTCCACGTGTTACTTGGAGCCCATCAAAAGTAATCGGCCTGCACACGTGAGGGGGCGGGGGTGTTGAACATATGCAGTCCAACTATCAGCTTAGGCTTTTAGTTGGGATGGGGCACATGCTTCAATTATTACGTACAAAGATCTGCCAACTTTGAGCATAATTCACACATGAAGTCAGTCAAGGTTCGAATCTTAGTTTCTTTTTTCAATATGCTTATCGAACCATTGAGTTAAGTTCATGCGGGGCTCTTTATGTAATTCTTGGGTCAAGATTAGGAGGGTTTCGAATTAGTCTAGTGTTAGCTGAAATAAATAATGTATAAAAGAAAAAACAAAAAATATCCATACACTAATGGGAAAAGTTTTTTGAATTGGAAGAGTCAATTGCTAACACTGCACATGAAGAGTGGAGTGGTCCGGTGGGGCAGTCTTCACTGTCCCCTCCCTATTTCCCTCTGCAAACTAAACTGCCACTCTCTACTCCATCTTTTCTCTATTCGCCATTATCAGATTCTCTTCTTCATCCCCCCAACACTGAAACCCACAGATTCCGCCATTGCCGCCACTAAATGGAGTGTTACGAGAGAATAGAAAAGCCCAACACTTGCACTACTCATCTACAGGTGACCCATTATCCGCACCCATTTCTCCTCACTTCATTCTTCCTCCTCCTCCTGCTTTTCCCACTTCCCAATGCCCGTTTCACATCCCAATGCAAGGAACAATAATGGAAATTTCTCCTTTTGCTTTTTCTGTCAATTCGAGATAATTTTTTGTTTTTTCTGTTGTGGAAAAGTTGCAGTTTTGGGCTGAAGTGAAGGATTGCTGTCATTACTGATTAGTTTTCTTCTTATATATTTGTACAGTTGTCCCCGAAGAAACTGCGGAGTATGCTTCTTGGGACTCAGAAAAGGAGGAAACCCCAAGCGGAAGAGGAAGAAGAAGAAGAAGATGATGACCCGGAGCTTGGTGTATCTTTGAGATCCGAATCTGAGATCCATGAATCTGGTTTGGTTTTTCTTCTCTTCTCTTGCATTCTTGAATTCTACCTAGGAGAAGTTTTTATTTTTTTTTATCTTGTTTTGCATACTTCTATCTAATCTTTTTGCTATAGTTTAGGGTAAATATCTATAAATAAATAAATTATGAATCTGCAATGACTGTATCCAATCTTGCAGGTTCACTTTCTGACCTTCAAAAAAGGGAATAAAATAAGAGACAAATCTTTGTAATTAGTGGCTTTTGAAATTTGAAAAGGGTTGTAACGTTTAAAATTGTAAAAAGGGGAAAGAGATCATTCTGCTTTTCCCTCATTTAAGTAGAATATGCTTTATAAATCCAAAAAGTTATGTTCTTTAGGCAATTCTATCCAGGATTCTGACAATCTGCCATATTCAATTTGAAAATCAAAACAAACTAGGAAAGAGATATCTTTCTTGACAGAATAATGATCTTCTTTCCAAATTGCCCTTAACTTCTCTTTGAAGGAGTTTAAGGAGTAGTGAGTAGTCCTATATTGCTGAATATTTTTGCAATTCAGTTATTAAATATTAGTTAAAACGTATTATCGGATTGGTGTATCAGAGGCTGGTTCGGAGAATTGCAAAGATGTGGCTGTTGTAAGGGAGTGGGAATTTGGTTCATCGGTTGCCTCGGAAATGGTTAAGGATAGATTGAAGGACCAATCACTGGTGACTTCGAGGTTTCGGTCTCAAGATCCGAATTGTGATGGTGGGCTTGATGGAATGATCACAACATCATCATCACCTTTCGAGTTTCAGAAGGCGGAGAGGGCACAGAGAGTTCCCGTTGCGCCTTTTTCGAAACCCGCCCCGTCCAAATGGGATGATGCACAGAAGTGGATAGCGAGCCCGACATCCAACCGGCCAAGATCTCAAGGCGGGCAAGGGGTGGGCCCACGAAAGACTAGTCATTTTGGACATGGCAACCTGCAGGTGTCCACGAAACACGTCTCTGAGGTCTCTGATCGGCGAGTGGTTCACTCTGAGGAGCCTGCTGATACGAAATTGGTGGATTCGAGCCACGCTAAGGACAATGCGGTACAAAAGTATTTGAGTTGGGAGTCTGAATCACACCCGGTTGCTGAATCTTATGGAAAGGCGACGCTCATGATTGAAAACTGTACTGAAGAATCAGCAAGTAAGATTAAACAGTTTGCTCAACAACCCCATGGCAGGGATCCCCTTTTATTTACTCGCATTTTAGCAATACAAATTTCGATAACATGCCTATACAACTATGTTGCTACTACCTAAAATTAGTAGTTATGAACAGATACTGCATTATAACAGAGTCAGTAGTATTAATAAATGTTGCTACTACCTAAAATTAGTAGTTATGAACAAATACTGTATTGTAACAGAGTCAGTAGTACTAAAAAATGGTGCTACTACATAAATTAGTAGTTATGCACAGATACTTCATTATAACAGAGTCAGTAGTTATGAACAGATACTGCATTGTAACAGAGTCAGTAGTACTAAAAAATGTTGCTACTACCTAAAATTAGTAGTTATGAACAGATACTGCATTGTAACAGAGTCAGTAGTACTCAAAAATGTGGCTACTACCTAAAATTAGTAGTTATGAACAGATACTGCATTGTAACAGAGTCAGTAGTACTAACAAATGTTGCTACTACCTAAAATTAGTTGTTATGAACAGATACTGCATTATAACAGAGTCAGTAGTACTAAAAAATGTTGCTACTACCTAAAATTATTATTGTGCTACCTACTAGATTGATATCACGGTTGCATTTTTTTGCAGTAAATTTGAGCCGCCATGACTCGTGTGTTTCTATCCATAGCGCAACAGCGTTTGTTCCACTACCTTCAACCGCTAGGTCTGTCTCTATGAGAGATATGGGCACTGAAATGACTCCAATTGCGAGCCAAGAGCCTTCCAGGACAGGAACGCCCGTGAGAGCCACGACTCCTACTCGAAGTCCAACTTCTTCTCGGCCATCAACTCCTGGAGCAGCTCCAAGATCCTCTCTCATCAACCATCCAAGTGATCTTCTGGATCCTCAGGGAAAGGAGTTGTTTGAGAAGGAATTACAGATGAAAACTCGGAGGGAAATCATGGCTCTAGGAACTAAACTTGGTAAGATGAATATCGCCGCCTGGGCTAGCAATGAGGATGATGATAAAAATGAACCCACTTTGCAAAATGCTGCTGGGGCAGAACAATCCTCGAGTGTTGTCAATACTCGAGCAGCAGCTTGGGAGGAGGCAGAGAATGCCAAAGACATGGCCAGGTTAATTTCTTTTGTTACATTCCTGAAAAAAAGATATAAAAAGCTAAATTTGATCTATTCCTCAGATTCCAGAGAGAAGAAATCAAGATACAAGCATGGGAAAATCATCAGATAGCTAAGGCAGAGGCTGAGATGAGGAAAACTGAGGTAATTTGTTCTGTACATTGTTTTCCATTTTTAATTGTCAATTAAAACTATAAAGGGGTGTTTGGTATTAGTGGGTTTGACTAGTTGATAACATTAGCTGATTGTAGAAAAATGTTTGGTAAATTAGTTGTTAGCTGATAGTTGATTACATGCAAAATGACTTTCCTCAAAAAGCTTATCGAAAAAGCTGCTTTGAGCAGCTTTTTGATTTTTAGCATTTTGTAGCAATAAGCTGTTACAAAAAGCTAATTAATCAAACACTCATATTGATTGTTTAACCAAGTCAAACAGCTAATAGTGATCAAATAAGCCGAAATTGGCTGATAAGCTAACTATGTTACCAAGTATATTTTTTTTTAGCTTTTTGCTTAATAGAAATATGCAATAAAAGTTCATGGGAATAATAGTACCTCGGACTTGTTTGTAGACACTGCAGCCGTACAGTTATTCTTGTAAATTGGCCTTTCTGGATTTCTGTACGAGAAAAAAAAAAGAGTATCTGCATTCATATTTCTGTCAGTGAAGAAGATGTTGCAAAAGAAACGGCTGGAAAAGCTCCAAAATTGGACCATCTTTCACAGTTTCACTGAAATAGCTAGAAAGTGGAGAAAGAAAAGTGGGAGAGGAAAAGACATTAAAAACAGATAAAGAAAGTAGCTTAATAGAAAATGGGAAAAAGGGTCAAATAGGCAACCGAGCCATACACACATGCAATTGATCTGATATGAAGCTTCTTCATCTCATATTTAAGACGAAAGAGCCATCTCAGAACATGCCTCATAAGGTCGGCTCAGCTCATAAGAAAAATTTTATTTGGATATTTTAAGGTTGGTAGAACCGCAGTCAACAATAGAATTCTTTTCTTCGTAACGATCCATGTTTCCTTGATGGATTTGCCTAATTTTAGCTTGTTCTTGGAGTTGGTTGCACTTTTTTAAGGTTCAGTGACCCAATTTGCATTTTTGCATCTAGTTTAGTGGCCTATTAAACCCTTTATCCTATAAAATGTGAAGGATAAAAGATCAAAGGGAGAGTGCAAAATGTAAATTGACCTCAATTCTGTGATTAATGGTAGTGGAAACAAAGAATTTTTTCTATCGTGCAACAAAATCATAATAATGTTGTTCGAGAGCTGAAGATCCTAATGTTGAATTTCGAGTTCTAAAGTTGCTAGATGGAGGAATTCGAATCATATTCAACGTGAAATGTTGTTTTCCGGTTAAAAAGTCAATCTTCAAGAATCATTTTCATAATGATTTGATAATCGTGAGCTTCAACAAATATTTGATCATGTGCCATATCTGAAATGACTTTCGATCAGCCATGACCTGTCACTGCTTCTTGAAATATGTTACATAAATGTTTTGCCAATGAAAACATTTTTCAGGTGAAGGTGGAACGGATGAGGGCGAGAGCCCAAGATCAGTTAATGAACAAGCTAGCATCGGTGAGGCACAAAGCTGAAGAGAAACGAGCTGCAGCTGAGGCTAGGATGAATGATCATGCTTCAAAATCGGAGAAGCAAGCAGAACATATACGACAAACAGGAAATGTGCCGTCCTCATGTTGCTGCTTCCATTGGTGATTTTATGTAGTTTCTGCTTAAATTACCCAATTACTTGACATGGTTGGAACAAAAATGGTAATCTATACATGCATTGCATTATTATAGTGAGAGGTATTCATGTAATATTGTTCAGTATATTGCTCTCTTCTATTATCTCTGTACATCTTTTGGTTCAGTTGATCCAATGATTTGAAATTAAGACTTGCAACATTTTCTCTTCCTAAAACTGTCTTTTTTGGTTGGCAACTCGAACCAAGTCAGTCAGAATGGACTTAGTATTTGCAGATTCAACTCCCAACAGGAGTACCGTATTAATTTTCTTAATTTGAGGGATTTAAACCGTTCAGCTATGTTGTGTTTTTGGTGGGGTAACTCGGACCAAGTTAGTCAGATTATTAACTTGGTATTTACAAATTCAACTCCCAATAGGAGCGCCTTATTAACTTTCTTGATTTGAGATATTGTGCTTTTGGTGGGATAACTCGGACCAAGTTAGTCAAATTATTAACTTGGTATTTACAAATTCAACTCCCAACAGGAACGTCTTATTTAACTTTCTTGATTTGAGTAGTTTAAACCAATCAACTATGAACAGCATGGGATGGTTTATCCCTTGAATTCCATTGGTTTTTCTTTCATTGTTTCCCTTGAATTCCATTGGTTTTTCTTTCATTGTGTAAACAGGTGTAATGGTAATTCATCCATCCATCTTCAACCAAACATTTTGATTTTATAATAGAGCATACAAAAAGTGAGTTAACAAATACCTCAAGACTCTAAAGATCAAAGCAAAGTGGCTCAAAGGAGTGTTAAAAAGAGATGACTATAAAAGATCAAATTATTATTAGACAAATCTAATGTTACGGCCATGACCCTTTGGGCAATGCTAAATGATAAAAATGCAAGAGCCATCCATGGATGAGGAAATGACCCCATCCCATCTGAGAAAAACAATTTCTAATAGTACAAAGAGTAATAAAAAAAAAATGTAAAATAAGAATGATTCCTCTACTTCTAATGACAAAATCAGTAGAGAGCCTGTTGAATTGCTCATCTGGTGCCAAGCTAAGGGGGCGGGCTCGTGAAGGCTACAGGAAACCAAGCGCAACGGTAATTGAAGAATATCATATCTCTATTTTACGAGAAGACGACAGCCATCTTCTTTGCAAAATCGTCAGCATCGTCGTCGTCTTCCAGGTATTCCTCATCTTGGTCTCCATTCTCAGCTTCATCTAAATTAACATCTTCCCCATCAACCTGCTCGTAATTGTAGTCCCCATCTTGTGGATCGTAGCCTTCGCCATCTTGATACTCCCCTTCATCAGCTAGCATTCCATCTTCAACTTCAAGATCCTCAGCTGATTTATTTTCGAGTACACCAGTGTTGTTGCCTGATGGAGGCTGAAAGTCTTCCTTCTGAGCTGCTGCATGGTCAGCTTCATTCTTGTGTGAAGAGTAAGGTTCCATCGTTGTGGTTCTTTCCTGTTGGTTATAGTCTTCATTCTCACCAGCTCTTCTTTTCCGCTTTAAAATCTCTTTTAAAGGCTTTGGCCCTTCAAATGACAGATCCCCTCCAGATTGCTGCTGGTCATCAAACTTTTGGAGCTTCCTTTTCCCTAGGGACTGTGGCCCATTGCCTTCAATGCCGCCCTTCTTTCCTTTCAGTTCTGCTAGACTTTTTGGCCCGGCAAAATTTACATTAGTCTCACTTAACATATCCCCTCTTAATGGTGGGCCTCTGATATTTCTCCCAACATAATTAAGATCCTCTGGCACTCTTCCCTTAATTCTGTCTTGAAGCCTTCCCTGGTGAGATGGAACTTGTGGCCTTCCGTGAGAGAATCTGCCACGGTCTCTGCCCCTGTCCATTTCTCTATCTGAGCGAATCTCAGCAACATCAGTTGGTGAAGATGATCTGCCAGGAATCTTTATCCGTCCCCGAAGGCGATTGCTAAGGGAACTCTCATGTGAAGATAGATTGTTAGACTCTCTCCGCGAACTCCGGTAGCTCTGTTCCTCAACGTGTCTTTCACGGGTTTGTTCATGGCTAACAACTGATCGTAAACCATTAACCCTCCGGTGCTTTGACAACCTATGTCTTAAATCTGACTCGCTAAATTGATCTGAGCTGTCAGCATTACCATACCTCCTTTCAGGATGTGATGATCTCCCTGGTTTCCTCTCAGATGAAGCTCCACGCTGCTCCCAACCATAGTGGGCATAAGAGTCATAACCATGTGCATCCCGATACATGTCTTGGTCAATATCCCCAATCGAGTAATCAGCAGCGGGGTCAATATCATATTCACTCCTCTCATGGTCCCCTGCTCCTCCATATTGATCTTCAACAGGATAATAATCAGAATCTCGAAGCTCATCATCTACAAGAACATCAAAGCCAGGAGAGGCCTCTCTTGAGATCTCTTCATCCTTATTATGCATGCTGCCAGGGTCATCAAACACATGTTGATGCTGCATTTGGCTTGACCTACCGACAAGATTTCCATTCGGAGGAACACTAGTTGGCTTATACTTGAGAGGCTCATTATCGATTCCGGAAATTGGTGCCATGTTTTTGTCAACAAGAAAGTGATTCTTTGCGAGTGCAGGTCCCTCTTTGGCTACTGGTTTTGCCACCGGAGGCATCTCTCCTGTCTTCAGAACACTATTTTGTAGGGTATTCTTCTCCTGTGTGCACTTTTCAAGCCCACCAAAAGTCTTCTTCGAAGAAACCTCAGTGGCGGGAAGAACACCTTGCTTCTGTGGAGGGCCTTTGTTAATCACAGTGTTGGGTCCATGCAAGAAAGGGCACCTGTCCCCTTTCAAGCAAATCCCTTTCTGGAAGAAGATGCAAGGTACTCCCTGCTTATTAGCAAAATAGGGAACCTGAGCCGCAGGGACCGGAGCCTGCACAGGAGGCATGAATGGCTCCACTGGATTTGGGGCTTGGTTGCCTAGTAATCCATCGAGAGGCTGTATAAAAAAGAAAAGTTTAATGCCTCGTAACAAGAAAACATCACATGTAAACGTAAAGTCATAAAGAGTTTATCTGTAGTAGAATAAGAATTGGTAATAGAACTCACAGGGTGCCTGAATGCACACTTCGGATTTAAGCAATTCCCATTCAACCAATACCAGCAATCTCTCGGGTTAAGCCGAGCATTATCACTATGGCGATACTCGCATTCACTTCCCTATTGATGGACAAAAAAGCATAGGCATCATTAATAACCAACCTAGGTATTTATACAAGAAGATTGACAAGATTTGCACTTCACTCATTCTAATTCATCAGATTCATCTTGAAAAATGACAGATTATACAAAAATTGGATCCAGATTGTACACTTTAAACTATTACTGTACATGTATTCATTGTATTAATACATAGTAATCAGAAACATAGCAATTCTATAGATCAGTTATCAAATAACAAAATCAGCATAAAAATAAAGGCATACAAAATCACAAAACTAAAATTAATTTTTTTTTTTAAACAATTTTTATCAGCCACTCCACAGATCTAGTACTCAAATCTGCATGCAACCCTCAAATCAGATAAAGAACACACCGAAATACGTATATACTTACATAAATATACATACACGGGCATACAGTATTTGATATACTTTGTAATAATACTTGACAGGTGAAAAAAAAACAATTTTTTTAAAAAAGGAAATTTTTTTATTTTTTTAAAACGAAACTTTATAATAAAAGCGGAGGAGCTGGACCTTCTTGCAGGTTAGAGGAGATGCGAGGAAGTAAACGCAATCTGTGTTTTTCTTGATAGCTTCTTCCTCAGCTGACGTCATCGGCGGCGCCGCGGCTGCGGCTGCTGCTGCTGCTCCAGCTGGCGGAGGCGGTGCTTGCGGATTCGGCCGGTGAGAACCATCCATGGCGTTGGGTTTCTGAGGAAAACCCTAGGAGATCTTTGACAGACTGCGGCCGGATCTAGGGTTCCAGAAGTCCGCCTGATATATGTGTATACAAATGCGCGTCAGTGACACATCTGAATCAGTATAGCTGATCCGGCTTGCAATTCGAACCCCGAGGGTTTGATTGCCGGAAAAAGTCGCCGAGAATTAGATGGTTTTATAGAGAGAGAAACAGAGAGAGAGAGAGAAATGAGGCTCTGGAAAGAGGAGTCAGATGTGGTGACAGAAGGCTTTAAAGTTTGAGCTTTAGGAAATTTTCTTTTTTTGCAATTTACTCCTCTTTTACTTCCCGTTTAATTCATTGACCTCCCCTCTAATTTACTGTAATTACATAAGCTCCCCATAGCTTTTATCCCTGTCAAATTATATTTCATTATTATTTTTTAAATGCTTTTTCAAATCTATTTAACTCATAATCGACAACCTGAATAAAAGAGACTCACGTATCCTTAACCAAAGGTCAATTGTTCGATCCTTGACTTGGTATGGAGCATCCTTAAATCTCCAGACTAAGTTCGACAGGAAAATCTAGGTACACCCACAAAAACTCATAACCGCCTGTTTGGTTCACATGACAATACATTTTTAAGAGGATGTTTTCTTCAAATTTGAGAAAAATGAATCTATTGCCCTCCTTTGATAGTTTGATATTTTATTTTCCACATCTTTTCAAAGAAAATTTGCAACATAAATTTCTATATAGGATTAATATTTGATGCACCATCGATGAATAAATGTTATACATCGGTAGTGAAAGAGAATATGTTACATTATTATATATATAAAAAAAAGTCAATATTGATTAGGTCCTTTTGTGACAAAATATTTAAGACTTATATTTTATTATAAAGACTAATTAACAAAATATATATACTTTTCTAAACATATTTATTACTTAATTATTATCTATCTAATTTCCTAAACTATCTAATTATCTAATTATCTATCTAATTTCCTAATATATTCAAAAAAAATCTAATTTCCTAAACTTTTTTATTAGATACATTAGTAATTAAATTAACAATGATTATTATATATATATATATATATATATATATATATATATATAAAATACATCTAATAAAAATGTTTAATCTATATATTATTCACACTGCACGAGCATATTAATTTTGAAGCTATATATTAATCTATTATCCACTGTGAATTAATCTATTATACATAAATTTCACGAGTAATCAATTTTAAAATTTAGGACTAAATATAATAAAATTATTATACTCAAAGGAACCCATATGATATATACTCTAGTTATATATGTGGAACTACAGTGAAAGACAACTTATATTCCGGTTGGTACTATTTCCTTTATCATTAACTGTACTTTCCATCATATTTGCACACCTCTCCAATAGCACAATTGGGTTTTTACCAAGTATCAACTAACATAATCTTAGCATTGATGCTTGATAAATGCAAACTATATACTTTATTTTATTTATTTTGGATCAATATTTATGTTTGATTAGTGAGTTTTGATGGTAAATATTAGTAAAAGTATAATTTTTATTATTATTATTATTATTTTTTTTTTTTTTGCGTTTTATATTTGTAGATATAACAACAACAAGAAGGCTAGTTTTCAAAAAAAAAAAAAAAAAAAAAAAAAAAAAAAAAAGAAAAGAAGAAGAAGAAGAAGAAGGAGGCTAAAGACCTTGTGATCAAGCGGTATAATTGTGCCTCTCCCAAATAAAAAGTTACAGGTTCGTGGACAATATTATATTGTAACAAAGCCAATAGTATTAAAAAGAATTAATTCCAGCAATGGTCCTCCGACTATATTGATTTTTCAAAATTAGTTCTTTACTTTTAATTTGGACACTTTAGGTCCCTTGACTTTCAATTTCTTTCCAATTGAGGTCCTTTCGTCAGAATACGGTTAATTGAATTTTAAATGAAGGGGTAAACTCGTATTATTCTTAGTATTTCTCCATTGTATACGTGATATATATGAAGATAATCTTAGTCGAAACCCTAAAATGTTCCTCGTCGTTCCCCATTTGCTGACTACTCGTGTGTGCGTTCCTCTATTATTGAGATGTTTACAAGGTATAACAGCGAAATACGAAGGGAGAAATACGAAGAATAATACATAGGCAGGTGAAAGGACGAGTTTACCCCTTCATTTAAAGTCTAATGAACCGTATTCTAACGGAAGGACCTCAATTGGAAAGAAATTGAAAATCAAGGGACCTAAAGTGTCCAAATTAAAAATCGAGGACTAATTTTGGAAAATCACTATAGTCGGAGGACCATTGCTGGAATTAACTCTATTAAAAAGAAAAAACAACACAAATAGTAAAATAAGGAAGCTTAAGTATTTTAATCCATTATCTGTGAATATTCAATGAGCTCAATTTTTTTGTTTTGTTTTGTTTTTTTTTTTAAACTTCAACCAAAGTAGTATTAGCTAGTTTAAACAATAAAAAATATTGTATTAATTGATTGCTAGCCCATTTGTCCTATTCCTTGTCGTAATAGTGAAACAACATAGTCATTAGTCCAATGAGCATAATGCAACATAGGAACTCATCCCTTTAACTTTGTACTAATTAATTAATTTGTCAATCAAGTTACATTTAATTGTTTGATTTTTTAATTTTATTTTAAGTATAACCAAGTTATTTAAGAGATTATTTGAGTACTTGCTATGCCTTTTGATTTGTAGGGTTTGAACTTAGACCTCTCTTAAGTGATGGGAGTGTATGACACTCAGACCAACAAAGTTGGTCATGTATTAATGTTATTGGGATTGGTTATTTGCTATTATGTGTTTTTTTTGGTAATTATATTCGTTGTTTGGTTTACTATTTTTTAAAATAAAGAAACTCATTCATTTAATCATAATCTGAAGCGATTACGAATAGGATCGATGGAATGGTATACCATTCCTTACAGTCAGACATAGAAATAACTTTCCTAACAATGCTACAAAGAACTTGATTCGCAGACTGTTTCACAAATTTGAAGCTGAATTCGTTAGATGAATTTAACGATTCTTTAAATATCATTGAAGAATTGATCAAACGTAGTCAAGACTGACTTTGGTTGAAAAGTTTTGCACACCACATGAGTATATGTTTTCCATTTGTCGTTCATTGACAATATATCCATCGAGCTAAGCTGCAGATGCTCTTTTAAATTGTCATCTTTGTCACCCAGGATGAAGTTCGCATACGCCATGGCCAACTTAAATGTTTCACACTTATGAAGAAAATAACCCGTCAAAAGAAACGAGTGGAAAACAAACTCGTCACAAATGAGAAAAAAAACCCAAAAAAAATCAGAACACAAAATAAAAGAGAAGCAGCAATACACCTCTTAAACTTTATTTTACGAATCCATTAGAATCAAACCACCTCTTTATTCAGATGTGACAGAATCCTTAAACTTTAATCTTTATAACTATTGCAACTTCCTTCAGGGTTGGTGGCTGAATCGACAGTGGACTTTATTATGAAACTAAAAAAACAAAAAACAAAAGAATATATGAGACCGCCGGACAAGAAACGAAGCTCCGTCAAAGGCTCAAAACTTCGGCCAGAGGCTGACGACCACCAGATGAAAAAATGCCCAAAAAAGAAGCAAGGTTTCGAGAGAATTAGAGAGATAATTAGTTGCTTAGCTTACTATAAATTTTCTATTTAGTTTTTTTTTTAATTATATTTTATTGATGTTGATATTCTATTTACAGTTAGTATCTTAGTTTATTTTCATTTATTATTTCATTAATTTCTTTATTGCATTGTATTAATCTCTTGTGGATTCAACCCTTATATTTTACATAGTATTACTACTATTGACTTGTGTATTTGTAGCTTTTTAAGAATATTTAAATTGTCTATCAAGTTTATGTGTAGTTTGTGATAAATGCGTAATTTATACACTTTTGCATCATTCTTTAAGTATGTTTTGTGTGATTGTTCTTGACTATAATGCACTAACTTATCAATTTTGCATATTTTGATTATCTTTTGAAGTTAACATGTGTTTTCGTCAAATTTGTTGATTAAGCTACAAAATTGGCTAACTTATGAAGTTAAGGAAATGGATAAAACACTCCTAAATGAGTCTAAAATTGATATTTTGAACAATTTTGATCATATGAACAAACCAATGCAAAATTTGAGCACAAGTGTGCAAAGTTGAATTTCACATCCAAATAGACTACTATTAAGTATGTTGATAATTATTTTATTGACCTTCATATATGTGGACTTACTGATCATTGTATTAGTAAATTTCTCGACAATCACCGTTAGATAAGTTAACTCTGCCGTCACCTCACCAACCACCCTCTCAACAACTTATACGTGTCATGACCGATCTGAATGCCCAATCAATAAATGCCATGCCAACTACGACAATACTTTACCATCATTATACCCACTGCCACTTTGTATAAATATAAAGCACTATTCCTAGTGTGAGGGGCCTGCTTCCCCCCAACTTACACCAAGCCAACCAGAGCTTCTTGCAGACGTTATGCCATGGAATCGTGTTCACCATGAATGGTGAACACGATTCTAACGGTGTTAGTACACCGTTATCTTTTTTTTTTTTTTTTAATTAATTGCGTGACTTTTTTTCTTTATTTTCACATTTTGCGGTTTCACTTTAATTTGAGGTGAACAAAGATTTCGGACATTCATAAATTATGAATTCATGCCTGCACATTCACTTTGGAACCATGCCTACACATTCCCGTCCGAAATCACGGACATTCATAAATTATGAATCCATGCCTGCACATTCACTTTGGAACCATGCCTACACATTCACTTTGGAACCATGAGATTATGAATTTTCTGTTATAAGATTATGAATTTTCTGTTATGAGATTATGAATTTTCAGTTATTAGATTATGAATTTTCTGTTATGCGATTATGAATTTTCTGTTATGAGATTATGAATTTTCATTACATTCATAATTTCGGACATTCATAAATTATGAATTCATGCCTGCACATTCACTTTGGAGCCATGCCTACATATTCCCGTCCGAAATCACGGACATTCATAAATTATGAATCCATGCCTGCACATTCACTTTGGAACCATGCCTACACATTCACTTTGGAACTATGAGATTATGAATTTTCTGTTATAAGATTATGAATTTTCTGTTATGAGATTATGAATTTTCAGTTGTGAGATTATGAATTTTCTGTTATGCGATTATGAATTTTCTGTTATGAGATTATGAATTTTCATAAAATTCATAATCTCATAACAGAAAATTCATAATTTGATCAAACGCGCGCCGTTAACTCCACATCCGCGAAATTTTTTTTTTTTGCCTAAAAACGACGTCGTTTTGCCTTGTATTCACCATTCTCAGTGAACACGATTCCATGGCATAATTTGCGAGCTTCTTGACTATATATTGTTGGACCTTAGTTAGCTTCCTGACCTCATTTTTCCTATTGTATTTAACTTATATTTCACTAGTATTTTTTACCTAACTCAACCCAAAATAGCTCGTATTTTTTCCTTTTAAATTTACACGTAAAATGTCTCGTCTCGTTACTCTTTTTTCTATTATTTACTTATGCAAATGTAGATTGACCCAAACGAATTTATATCATCAAACCTGTCGTTTCATTAGATTACATGTACATATTATAATCCTCATAACAGAATACAAAATGCTCATATTACTAAGGGTAACACTTGTGTGAGACTGTCTCACGGGTCTCAATTTGTGAGACAGGTCGAATTTTTGGTATCATTAATCAAATATCCGACCCGTCTCACGAATGAGACTCGTGAGACGATCTCACACAAGTTTTTGCCATTAACTAATACTAAATACTAAATATGCGATACATTTTTTTTTTTTGCAACATTCATAAATTTTAAAATGTAATATTTGTTCTATACTAGATCGTGTGACCACTAAATAATACGGAGTAACATTAGTATCATCACACTGCATAGTAATTGACAATAGTATCTTTTTTGAATGCTACTACTCTATTACATTGTAGTATCTGTCCAAACATACTTTCTCAACCTAACGAAGCACACAGAATCAACAACACCTGCACTAAGACTCGATCTCATGACCTCCCATATGGCAATAGTATCTAAATTCATTTAAAAGTTATATATTTAGTAGATCCGAGAGTTTTTAAGAAAAGTATTTATTCGTTGGACCCTGGTATCTAAATAAAGATACAGAATATTTTTTGTTTATCGGATAGCATCTCTCTCGCTCCAACAACGAACTCAAAAGTCTCAAAACTTTCACCTAAAACCCTACAAATAATTTGTGTCCTCCGCCTCACACTCCATTTCTTCTTCCTCCCTTCGATCCCTCTGCAAAACTCACTGCCATGGAGTTGTCGGGAATCACCTTAGGCGCTTCTTCATCCACATTCCATTTCCCTAAAACCGCCCAGAAACCTCACGCCCTATCCCGCTGCCGCCTTTCCGCACCTTGCAGCAATAACAACAAGAGGTTCACCGTCAGAGCTTCCGCTACTTCTGATCGGAATCCGTTGATCGCGACTCTTAAATCCGCAGGAGTCGCGGCTGTTTTCGCCGCCGTCACGTTCGGGAAGTTCCCGTCAATGCCGCCGCTCGCGAGAGCCGAACCGGCTGTCGTGGAAGAGCAGCGAGAGGTTGTTAAGGAATTGGAGGAGAAAGAGGAAGATTCGCCGCTGACTCAGTTCCTGGAATCCAGTCCGGAGGCAGTTGAATCCCTGAAAGCACTCCTCCAGGAGAAGGTGGAGGCCGGGGAGGACGAAGAGAGCCTCGAATTGCTTCACAAATTGGCCGCCGCCCAGCCGGAGAACACGGAGTGGAAATTCATGACGGCCAGGCTGTACCACAAGATGGGCAAGGTCCAGGAATCTAGAGCCGTTTTCGAGGAGGTTTTGTCCGGCAATCCGCTCTCATTCGAGGCCTTGTTTGAGAATGCATTGTTAATGGACAGGAGTGGAGAGGGGGAGAAGGTGCTTGAGAGGTTAGAGGAAGCACTGAAGGTGGCTGAGGAGGAGAGCAGGGCCAAGGAAGCTAGGGATGTTAAGTTGATTATGGCACAGATGAAGTTCTTGCAGAAGAATGTGGAGGGGGCATTGAGGAGCTATGATGAACTTGTGAGTGAGGACCCTAGTGATTTTAGGCCATACTTCTGTAAAGGGGTGATTTACAGTTTGCTTGATAGGAATGAAGAGGCTAGAGAGCAATTCGCCAAGTATCGCGAGCTTTCTCCCAAGAAATTTGAGGTGGAAGGGTACTTGAGGTCTCCATTGTCGCGGATGAAGCTTTTCGGGATGGATGAGGATAGGAAATGAATCTCCATTTGAGCACCATTGCAGCGATAGGGTAAGAAGAAGGCTTATATAGATAGTTAATAACTTGGCATAGTCCTAAAGATCAACTTTTGATTGCTTGAATATGAGTAAGAGTTTTTATAAGAAAGTGATAGATACTATCATCGGAAAATGATACTTACTTGAATGAATGTGTCTCATTTTAAAATGTACTTGGATGAATCCTGCATTTCTGACAATAAATGTTATTAACTCAATCATGTCTGTCTATTTGGATAATTCTTCCATTGAGGTTAAGAACTCTTCAAATTTTCTTGGATTAGGATGTTCTTGTTCTCATTTAAAGCTTGGCTGATCATGTATTTCTCTGTTGATTGTTGATTAGGTTGTCTGCTGAAACTTGTGAATTCCCTCGAGTCTTAACCATGTTACTCATCTTCACTTCATAGCGACCATATGATATTTCTTTAGGGTTGAAAGAGTTGATTCTTTCCCAGTAAAATGCTTTACAGTGCTATTGAGAGGTCACTGCTTGTGCATTTGTGTTCTAATTTTACAGTGCAGCACATTTTTAGGAAGGAAAGAAATTTCTTTTGTTGTTCATCTTGAATTCCCAATGTGTTTTTATGTTCCTATAAATAATACTCTGTATAGTTTTCAGCAAGTGTAGTTAACCACCTCGAGAGAAACAACTCTAAAGCTATGTGCTTGTGACTATTTAGCCTCAAGAGTTATTATCTGATATGCCCTCCCTGCCCTGATCCCATAATGTCTTGTTTTTCCAGTAACACTATATTTGCTGATACTAGAAATTTGAGTTAAGGAAGAAGGTTTGTGTAACTTAACTGTTTTTGGCAAGGAACTTTTTTGGGGGTAATAGAAACAATGTATGAAAGGCATCCATCATAAATCATATGAACAAAAGAGCAGGTGGGAAGGGGTAACCCCAGCCAAGATAACTAAGGATTCAAACTTGTAACCACACGGTCACGAGTTCGAATCCCAGCCCTCTTGGTTTAAGTCGGTCAGCTATGGACAACCGGGTAGTGGCTGATGGTTTCCTTCGTTGGCCCAAAAAGAGCAGGTGGAAAGTTTGTTTATGTGATCCAACTTCTTTCTAGGAAGAATACATTGTAGCATGGGTTATTCTCACGAGACATGTTTCAGTGAGAGATATTTCGATTCAGATGCCTCGGTCATACTAGCGAATTTGTGCAGGATATTGGTTGTGAGAATTTGATAGATCATGAATGATTCAAATGCTGTTTCTGGAGTCGTTGGGATATTTCCCATTCTGAAAACTCCTCATTGTGATAACAATCTTGTACAGTATTTGAAATGCATTTGCATATGCATATGCATCTGATTCTGTATTCACAACATTAGCAAACAACTTGATTCTTGCAGCAAGATCATCCAGTTTGTGCATAATTCAATCTGCTTGGTTCAGAGTTCAGACCAATTTCTTGTTTCCAGTTTAACCGGTTGGGAAACGATTCTTTCCTTTTGGATGTATATTAGAACTTGAACTGTTGTATCCCAGATATTGTTGTCACTCACCCTTTCTTAGAATTAGTTGATTTTGTTCCCTACATCATACAATAATGCTTACTTGAACCAAGTTTTATACTATTATACATTAAGTTTCTCCCTTAGACTAATCCTAAACCCTTAGAATCTTTGTTTAAGAGCGGCTGGAGGAGGAACTCCTTGTACACTCTGTGCACAAGGGGGTCATCACTTCTGAAGTTTTATACTATTTACTATACTCGTAGTTTTGGTTATTCTAAAAATATATGTGAAAGTTTAATCAAGCTAAGTGATAATAGTTTGTTAAAACTTTTTTTTTTTTTTAAGTACACTATTCGTTCAATGTATATGTAGCAAATTTGATACTTTTTTCTAGTATATTTGACATAAAAATTTTGTTTATTAGTATTTCTCAATATTAAATTGCGACTTTGGAATGCTCCCAAATACTTTTTTTTTTTCTTATTTTAGTAATATAAAGTGTCAAATTTTAAATATTGCACATGAAAACAATATTTTGTTTAAATAATTATTGTGATACTCTGTATTTTATTTTTATTTTTATGTTGTATTCTCTTGACGAGAAGCAATATTTTTCTTTCTTCTTTTGCTAATAGTGCAATATTTTTTACCTAATTCCTCGTGTCACAATAATCATGACTCATATTCTTTGTTGTGATAAGAAATAGGAAAAATTTGCAGTCAGTACAATTCAGTGCTGTGTATTGGGTTAATCTCGCTGCACCCTTTAGTGACTAATAAATTGACTTCATAACTCGTACGGACTTAACTCATTGGTTCAGTAGGTAATATTTGGGAGAAGAGACTAAAATTTGACTTTCAGCCGCGACAATTTGAGGATTATGTCTAAAGTTGTCAGATCCCTTGTGTGCACGGACATTTGACCTTGTCTGCTGAGCCATTGAGTCACCATAATTTACATCATCTCAAATACTGTGCCGGACCAAGGTGTGGGGACCCCTTGAAGATTGAGAATTTAACCTCTTGGAAGAAGAATTGAACTCGTGACCCACATTAATTGTTGCCCTATGGAGTTATGGCCTAGGATTTTCCAGCATAGTCAACTAAGAAACTGAATAATTCTACATTTTACAAGATACTTTTGTCCGTAAAAATGCAATTTTTTTTTCGTTGTTGCAAACAGCATATAAGTGGCTAGGAATGAGTGTGATAAGTTAAAGGTCCACAAAGCCAAACGTGTCATGCAGGCAGTGGCTAATACAACTCGCCTGCATGGCACAATCCAAACCTGATAAGCTAAGCTAAGATTCCCATACACAAACCATCATCATCATCATCATCTTCTTCCCCAAAAATTCTTTGAAACCAATGTGAAAAAAAAAACATTTGCTTCTCCCATGGCATTTCCCACCACTCCAGAATGGATCATCCCCTGCAACAACAACACTGCAAGGATCAGTAGTAACAGCAGATTGATGATGATGATGAGCAGAAACAGAAACCTCCCTTTGCTCTCTCTCCTCTCCTTCAACTCCTCCAGGGATCTCAACCTTTCTGCAAGATCCTCCAGCTGCTCAGCCCCAGTTCTTGAACACCAAGCTTCCTCCACTCCCAATAACTCCCAGCCCACCATAGAATTGGACTTGCAGCTTCAGGATCTTTGCCCTTCTCCTTTGCCAGAGCCTGAGGATTTCAATGCCCTTATCTGCACCTTACTCAAGGATCCCCACACTGCAGGGATTGGGCACGAGTATTACGAGAAGGCGAAGGGGAATCCGGGTTTTATCCCACAGAGATCCACCCTGAATCTTCTTGTCAGGTACTTTATGAGCTCCAGAAACTGGGGCTCAATCTCTCTGTTGCTTCAGGATTTCAGGGCTTTCCATGTTCTCCCTGATGGTTCCACCTGTTGTAGACTGATTAGTAGCTGTGTTAGAGCTAGGAAGTTCAAGATTGTAAATAGTTTGCTTGAATCTTTGATTGATTATGATAAAAGGGCTGCTGTTCTGGGCTTTGATTCTGCAATGAAAGGGTTTAACACTTTACATATGTATAGCACCACTGTTGTCTTGTACAGAAGGATGAAATCTGCAGGGCTTGTTCTAGAGCCTGGATCCTATTGCAGCACAATGGAGGCTTTCTTGAAAATGGGAAAGCATGAGAAAGTGGTTTCCCTGTTTCGAGAATTCGAAGGGAGGAGAGTGGAATCCACACAATTTCATGCCCAAATCTATAAGTGTTTATGCAAGTCTCTGGAGAAACTGGGGCGGCCTTTCGAGGCGTTGGAGTACTTCCGGGAGATGACGAGGAAGGGAATTCCCGAGGATCGGAGCTTCTATTCGTCCCTGATATGCGCCTTCGCGACTGCCCGGGAAGTGAAACTGGCAGAGGAGCTTCTCGAGGAAGCGGAAGGGAAGGGAATGGTGAGGGATCCAGCTTTGTTCTTGAAGCTGGTGCTCATGTACATTGAAGAGGGAATGCTGGAGAGGACTTTTGATGTCATTTCTGTGATGAACCGGGTGAAAATCCGCGTTTCTGATTGCATTTCGTGCGCGATTGTGAACGCTTTCTCGAGAAAACGAGGGCCTCGAGTAGCAGCAACTGTGTATGAAAAGCTGGTTTCCCAGGGCTGTGAGCCAGGCCAAGTTACCTATGCTTCAATCTTGAACATTTACTGCAGAATTGGGGTATACTCCAAGGCAGAAATGACCTTTTCAGAAATGGAACAAAAGGGGTTTGATAAGTGCATTGTGGCCTATTCGAGCATGGTCAATATGTATGGCAAAACCGGCAGGCACAAAGAGGCAACGAGGCTCGTAGCCAAGATGAAGGAGAGGGGTTGCGAGCCGAACGTGTGGATTTACAACACGCTCTTGGACATCCACGGGAGGGCCTCGAACATGAAGCAAGTCGAGAAGGTATGGAAAGAGATGAAACGACGAAAAGTCGTGCCAGACCGAGTTAGCTACACCAGCGTTATAAGCGCTTACAGCAAGGCCAAGGAGCTCGAGAGCTGCGTAAAATACTACCAAGACTTCAAGCTAAACGGGGGCAAGACTGACAGGGCGATGGCCGGGATAATGGTCGGGGTTTTCTCGAAGATGAACAAAGTCGACGAATTGGTTAAACTGTTGCAGGATTTGAAGACCGATGAGACCAAGCTGGACGAGAGGCTTTACCGGTCTGCTCTGAATGCTCTGAGAGACGCGGGGCTGGAAATTCGAGCAAAATGGCTGCAGGAAAGCTTTGCTGTTGCAACATAAATCATTTCCTGCAATTCTGCAAAGAAGAAGCCTAAGAACATTGTAAATACAAGGTGGAGAATTAGCTTATCTGAAACATTGGTTTAAGGTTTTAAGGTTGTACCCCCAAACCTTTGTAACCATCCACTTGCTGTTTATGAAAGTTACAAAGAAGCCATACTTTCCCATTGTGCAGACAACTTCATTAATCATACATATGTTTTTTGTTTTACTACTACGCCAAAAGCTACGGCGAGTAGCGAAGATGTAATAACTTTATTTCTTTTATACCTGTCACAATTTCGATAGACAGGATGCTGAACATGGTCCTTTAGGCTCCCGCCCAACAATCCTCTAATCACTTGGTGTTAGATTTGACCTTTCACGGGCATCCACCCAACACTTCGTTATCTATAAACATCACATGTTTGTCACTTGTATTCTTCTGTTTGCAAAAGAATGCCATAAGAGCAAGTGCCAGTAACCAAAACTGTTTTCATCTTAATAAACCATCAGAAACAACATAAAGAGTGTTGATTTTGATTCATGGTTTAAACTTTAAAAACTAATATATTGTTAAAATTCTAGGCCAAGTGGGTGTATTGTGTATGTCTCAAATATAATGGAAGATGAGAGGTGTTGGACAGTGTGGATTTTTTCATCTTTTGTTACGCAACAAGGAGTGGGTTGGACAATCATTATTGTGTGGACCATATTTTGTATACTGTAAAATAATGTACATTCAATATAAAAATAATGTACATTCAGTACAAAAATAATGTATATTGTATTCAGGGAATATACATTATTTGTGTATTGAGTGTACATTTAGTAAATAAAAAATGTACTTTTTATTATAGTCCACATAACACTGTGTGGATCATGGTCCACACAATAATTTGCCCAACGTAAATAATTTGGGCTTAGCAATTTGTGATTAACAATTTTATTCATATGTATATAAATGGGCTTAGCTTTTGGACTCTAATCTTTGGGCTGAACAATTTGCATAAATAAATAAATAAATAAATAAATAAATATATACATACATATATATATATATATATATATATATATATATATATATATATATATATATTGGTTCCTGTGAGAACAGGTCTTCTCGTACGGTCAGTGCGACATACACTATTAGGTATGCATAAATGCACCAGACAGTGTTCGAGAATACACGAGAATGAAACGTCAAAAAATGCACCATACAAAAAAAATACACCACACATAATGGTGTATTTTCGAACACCGTGTGGTGCAAAACATGACCCGAGTCCAAAACAGCGTCGTTTTGCTTCAAAACGGCGCTGTCTGAATTTTAAAAAATTGCTTCCTTCCTTGTCATTAACTTGCCGTTTGTCTTCAGAATTCGTTCCTCTATATTCACAATTTTTAAACTCTATATTCACAATATATATATATATATATATATATATATATATATATATCATTTACGGATGAAACGGTGCCACTAACAACATCATTATTCCAGACGCGCAAAGCTGCGTTGTTTTGGACCTAGGTACACCTTACAAAGTGGACCTGGGTCCACAATATAATTTTTCCATCAAGCACGACCCATTATTGTAGATTTTTTTTCTGTTCGGTTCACGGGAGAAATCCATACCTATTAACCAATCGTTATGCATTGCAACCGTGTGCACCATGTATGGTGCACACGGTTGCAAAACGACGCTGTTTCATTAAAAAAAAATTCCGTTCGAATTGTAGTTAACGGCGTTAGACGGTTTCCTTTCGTATGCAAACAGTAGGATATATCCATAAATTCATAACTATATATCCACAAATTCATACCTATATATCCACAAATTCATAACTATATATCCAGATCGAATTACATAACTATATAATCATAATTTGACAACAGTACATTCAGAAATAATAACTACACATTCATAATTTCATATCCATATATTCATAATTTCACAACTAGACATTTATAGTTACATAACTCCATATTTAGAATTCTTAAAATGTTTGTTCACAGAGAACAATATCCATAACTTCATAACTATATTTCCACAATTTCATAACTATATTTCCACAACTTCATAACTATATATCCATAACTTCGTAACTATATATTCAGAATTGCATAACTATATATTAATAATTACACTTCGATTGGAGTTTTTGTTAAAAAAAAAAAAATGATTGGTGGAGTCAAACGGTGCCACTAATGGCACCGTTACTCCATCATATTAAACGGTGTCGTTTTGCAACCGCATGGTGCACACGGTTGCACATCATAATTTGCGCCTATTAACTGAGGGAATGCATATGTAAACTTTGGTAAGAATTGAACGTGTGTCCTTCATGTACGACAATCATGCTGCACCATATTGTGATTAATGGGAACAAAGATTGATAAAAGTAACAGAAAGTAAAGAAGACAAGATTTATTTATAGTTTGATAACATGCTTATGTACAAAAGTATTGTTCTTTTAATATTAATACCGATGATAAAACATCCAAAGTTACTATATGCAACCCTAGACATAATACAAGTACAAAATTACCCATGTATTGTGCAACAAAGTGCTGCCCCCCACCCAAACCCGGCAAATTATTGTGTGGACCATGATCCACGCAGTGTTATGTGGACCAGTCATTATATCAAGCATCGCGGTGCATGTGTATCGCGGTAAAAAACGGCGTCGTTTCTTTAAGTAAAGAAACAGCGTGCCGTTAGAGTTAACGGAGCGTGCATGTTTGGTTTATTAATTACCAATTGAAACTACAGTGTATCTAAACTAACACTGCCTCACGTTTTATTTTTATATTATCAAGTGAAACTGCAATTGAAATGTAATGAAATTGTAGTTGTGTTGAAATGAAATGCAGTGTATACAAAATGAAACTAAATAACAATTTCACATATTTGAGTGTATATTATCCATCGAAACTGTAGTTATATCAAACTGATACTGTAGTTGTGATGAAATAAAATTGCAGTGTATATAAAATGAAACTGAATAACATTTCACATATTTCATATTTGAGTGTATATTGTGCAATGAAGCTGTAGTTATATCGAAATGATCATATAGTTGTATTTTAATGAAACTATAGTGTATATAAAATAAAATTAAATAACATTTTGGGATAAAGTACAAATAAGCCACTGAACTATTGGGAAAGAGCAATTAAGCCATCGAACTCAAATAACGTCCAAATAAGCCACTGAACCCGAAAAAAAAAAGCAATTGGCATTTTTAACAGGTTATCTTCCCACTTTTGTTGACTGGGTTGCCACACATTTATTTTATTTTTTATTTTTTATTATTATATTATAATCTACATGGGTTAATTTTAAGCAAATTTTTAAATTAAACATCCAAACTCTAAACTATCTTTCCACTTCTGATCTTTGGTGAAGTAAGTGTAAGCACGTGGATCCAGGAACTCACTAAAAGTATTCTTATAGAATTCATGGTATTGTTCTTTCTCAACATCCTTTAGATTACGCATTTGAAATTTGAAATACATATGAACATATCATTCAATCCCATGACCCAAAAAAAAAAAAAAAAAAAAAAAAAAAAACTCAATTTTTATGACAATCAAATACATAGTAGAAAAATAGTTGCCTGGAACTCACCCATATTGGCTTTGTCTCATTCGTTAATTCCCAGTCTCAGTACTTTTCAGTTTTGACAGCCAAATGATCCCAGGGAGTCGGCGTTGTTTTCCGATCGGGAATTCTCTGAACCGTCCCTGCGAACATACCCTCTGTCTCTCTTTCTTCAACATTAGTTACTTAGTTTCAAAGCCTCAATTCTCTATAACTTCAAAGCTTTCGTTAGCTCGCTTCGGTATTTTCAAGCTTAGTTCAAATTCGTATTCGTCGATTTAGTTTTTATTTTTGTTTTGCTGAAATTTTGAGCATTTTCTATCTGGATAATTGTTTCTGCTATGAATATTTGCTAAATCAGATTAGATTTTTCTGTTTGTATGCTAATGCTAATGATTGTCATAAAAATTGGTTTTTTTTTTTTTTTTTTTTTTGGTTCATGGGATTGATTGATATGTTCATATGTATTTCAAATTTCAGATGCGCAATCCAAAGGATGTTGAGAAAGAACAGTACCAGGAATTCTATAAGAATACCTTTAGTGAGTTCCTGGATCCACTTGCTTACACTCACTTCACCAAAGATCAGAAATCGCGATTAGGGAGAGATAGTTTAGGGTTGGATGTTTAATTTGAAAATTTGCTTAAAATTAATTCATGTAGATTATAATATAATAATGAATAAATAAATAAATATGTGGCAACCCAGTCAGCAAAAGTGGGAAGGTAACGTGTTAAAAATAGGGTTATTTGAGTTCGATGGCTTAATTGCTCTTTCCCAAATAGTTCAGTGGCTTATTTGTACTTTATCCCTAACATTTTCACATATTTGCAAGTACGGTATATTATGGCTATTATGGCTCGATCTCATGCCTGTAATATGTGTTCCACTGAGGAACGATCTCATGACCTCCCACATGGAACATGGAAGAGGTCACTACATGTCATAAAGGAAGACCTCCCACATGGAAGAGGTCACTACATGTCATAAAGGAAGAACCCCAACCCTAAGGGCCCACAAAGGCCCGGTTGAGGTCACTACATGTCATAAAGGAAGACCTCCCACATGGAAAAGGTCACTACATGTCATAAAGGAAGAACCCGAACCCTAAGGGCCCGGTTACGTTGCTCCCACACTGTCGCTGGTGACCCTAAGGGCCCACAAAGGCCCGATTGCTCCCACACTGTCGCTGATGACGACCTTAAGGGCGTTCCACTGAGGAACGATCTCATGACCTCCCACATGGAAAAGGTCACTACATGTCATAAAGGAAGAACCCCAACCCTAAGGGCCCGGTTGTTCCCACACTGTCGCTGGAGACCCTAAGGGCCCACAAAGGCCCGATTGCTCACACTGTGGCTGGTGAAACTCGATCCCTGGTCATTCTTCCAAAATTTCACCTCTGTGACCAGTTGAGCTGCCCATGCAAGTGTGTTTAGCAAGTTTATGATCATGTTAAAAGAACATGACTGTATTTTTATTGAGTACTATTGACTAACAATGAATGTAATAATTAACTAATATTATTACATAATTTTTTTTTTGAAAATATATTATTACATAATTTGATTAAGTTAGTATTGTCAATTTTTTCATACACGTTGTCATTAATAATATATTGATATGATCATTGCACTACTAAAAAAAAAACAAAAATAAAATAAAATATAACATCGGACATATCACATCGTCTTTAATAAAATCGTCATTAAAATATTAAATAAATTTATAAGTTAAAAAAATATTTTAACGTCAGTTGTATTAACTCACCGACCTTGTTAATAATTACATAATTATTTTAAATTTTAAAAACAATATGACGTCGCTTTTTATGACGTTGGTTTTTTTTTTTTTTAGGAAAATCAACGTCGTATAGTATTTTATAGAGATACGATATTATTTTTTAATAAAAACTTAAATTACATCTCATTTTATTTTTTAATAAAGAGATTCGACCCTAATTTTTTCTAAAAAAAAGGGCATCATATATAATTTTTTTTAAAATTAAAAATAAAGAGATAAAAATCGACATCATATCTCTTTTATAAATTTTATAAATGTTATGATGTAATTTTTTAAAAAATGACATACGACGTCTATTTCACAAAAAATTGATGTCGTATCATTTATTTACTATTACAATAAGATCTACTACGCAATATAACCGGCGGTGTAAGTTAAAAATAATAGATTTTAAAAGAATTTTTTGTGGTAGTGTTGATATATATATTTGGAATATAACAATTGTCTAAAATAAAAATGAAAGTAAAATTAACATAATGGTGCTATAAATTTAGTTTTGTGACGTTTAGTCGTTGTATACTTGATGACAAGGTTACAAATTTTACAGCAATAGAAGAATAATTATACATGTGTACATGCATGGGGTAGATGATAATTATACAGATCTAGGCTACTCATTTCTCTCTTCTAAATTTTTTCTTTAATTTGCTTTAATTTGAGGCCGTGGTGATTTCTTCTCCCACTGCATGCACGAAGCAGCCATGGAGCTCCTCCGCCGACGATCTTCGGTTTTCCGGCGACCAAACTATTGAAGTGGTGAATTGAAGGAGGTGATTTGGATTTGTTGAATCTATCGTTTGTTCGAAGTTACTGGTGTGGAGGTAGATGATAATGGCGAAGCTTCTGGTGTTATTTCTAGCAGGTACTTTGATTAGAATTATAAATTATAAATTATAAACTAATAATAATAATAATAATAATAATAATAATAATAATAATATTATTATTATTATTATTATTATTATTATTATTATTATTATTATTATTAATCATATTTTCACTAGAATTTATTTTCCCTCTATTTCTTTTCTCATTCCTTATCTGATTAGGAATTTGTTTTCCCTCCCTCTATATTATTGTGAATATTCTTTTTATCATTCCTTATCTAATTAGGACTAGTCAGGATCCCTATAAATACTACTTTGCATAACCAACCTAAACTATTCAATATCAATAATCTTCCCAATCTTTTAGACAGTAGCGACTGCCTTCCTCCTTGCGCCATTTCTCTATCTATCTATAATATAATATATGGCTTCTCATATATATACTATGCCATGCATTGCAACTTTATCATGTTTGCTTCTGCTGCTCTCCTCATTCTCGCAATGCCAAGCGCAGCTGTCCCCTACATTTTACGACAAGACATGCCCTAATGCTCTAAACATCATTCGCACTGCCGTAAGGCAAGCAATTTCTCGTGAGCGCCGCATGGCTGCTTCTCTGGTTCGTCTCCATTTCCATGATTGTTTTGTTCAGGGTTGCGATGCTTCCATCTTACTGGACGAGTCACCAACCATTGAGAGTGAAAAGATGGCGTTGCCAAACCTCGCCTCTGCGAGGGGTTTTGACGTGATAGAGTCTGCCAAGCTCGAGTTGGAGAAAGCTTGTCCCGGTATTGTATCTTGTGCTGATGTGTTGACGGTGGCTGCACGTGATGCCACTGCTGCTGTGGGAGGTCCGTCTTGGACGGTGAAGCTGGGAAGAAGAGATTCAACCACAGCTAGTCGTATCATCGATCTCCCCAGCCCTTTTGCCAATTTGGATACACTTATATCAAGCTTTGCAAGCAAAGGCCTTAATACAAGAGACATGGTTGCCTTGTCTGGTGCACACACTCTCGGCCAAGCTCAGTGTTTTCTATTTCGCAATAGAATTTATGGCAACCGTACTGATATTGATGCCGGTTTTGCTAACACTAGAAGACGCCGATGTCCTAAAGACACTGGAAATGGAAATTTGGCACCGCTTGATTTAGTCACCCCAAACTCCTTTGATAACAACTATTACAAGAACCTGTTGCAAAAGAAAGGTTTGCTTCAATCGGATCAAGTTCTATTCAATGGTGGAGCTACGGACAACTTAGTTTTAGAGTATGCAAGGAGCCCACATGCATTCCAAGCAGATTTCGCATTAGCTATGATTAAAATGTCTGAAATTCAGCCACTCACGGGTCAAAATGGTATCATTAGGAAGCTCTGCAGTGCTTTGAACTAGCTTCATTTCTTCAATTTGTTGTGCTTTGATCATTAGGAAGGTCTGTGGGGCTCAAAATGCATGTAATAATTTGTTGTACTAATTTTCATTATATATGAAATGTAAGATTTCCTCGTATATTTTGATGCTTTATTTCTGTTAAGGGTGCACTTATTGTCATTTTTTGTTTTCTGCATCAAATTGTCTGACATCTTTCCTTATTCTGGTTTCCATTCTTCATGGTGATCATCCTCTCTGGATTGAAGATAAAAAAAAAAAAAAATTAAATTGATAGTTTTGTTAGTTGATGCATGTAATTTTGCTTATTAGTCTCTTTTCTTTAGACATGGTAGCAATCTGACATATCTATGAGAGACAATATAGCTATTTTTCTATTCATAGAGATGTTGTGTGTAGACTTCTCCTGATAACTGCAGAAGTAGGCCTGTTTTAGCAAGCATTGATTTTTAGGAGATAATGCATCTTCCTTATCTGTAAACATCAAATGTTTGTCACTTGTATTCTTCTGTGTGCAAAAGAATGCCATAAGAGCAAGTGCCAGTAACCAAAACTGTTTTCATCTTAATAACCATCAGAAACAACATAAAGAGTGTTGATTTTGATTCATGGTTAGAACTTTAAAAACTAATATATTGTTAAAATTCTAGTCCAAGTTGGTGTATTGTCTATTTCTCAAATATAATGGAAGATGAGAGGTGTTGGACGGAGTGGATTTTTACTCTTTTGTTACGTAACACGGAGTGGGTTGAGCGCGGGGTAACACTTTGGGGTACAGTACATGGGTAATTTTGTGTCTGTACTATGTTTAAGGTTTCATATATAAATATGTTGCTTGTAATTATGTACTATGTTTAGCGTTGCATATATAAATATGTTGATGGTAACTTTGGATGTTTTATCATCACTATTAATAATTAAAAAAAAAAAAACAACTTTGCTTCCGTGGATATATGCACGTTGCTAAAACTACGTAAATCTTATCTTCTTTACTCTATGTTATTATTATCAATCTTTGTTCTCGTTAATCACAATGCATCATGATTGTGGTACATGAAGGTCACTGGTTCAATTTTTTGCCAACACCATTTTCGTCGAACTCATCGCACAAGATCTTTGTAATAAGATTTACCTTCTCATATGATTTGCCGGCTATTATACAGGATTAGAGTTTACCTAATGCCATGGTTGCAGTAGGCGCTGGGCGCTAGTCGGGCGCCCGGGCAGCGCCTAGCGCCTAAGCGGCCTAGTCGGCGCCTAGGCGGAATCTAGGCGGCGCTAGGCGGTCGCGAAAAAAACAGTAGCACACTTGCAATTTGACAATTTTAATGAGGCTGTTTTCAACATTCAATCAAATAACACATCCAAATAAATGACATAATGACAATTCATAAGTCATAACATCAAAAGAATATTAAAAAAAAAAAAAACTCAAATGAAATACCCAAATACTTCAATCATCCAAAGATTGAAAGTATCAAACTAGTCTACGAGTGTATATATGTCTATATGTCATATAAATGGACAAAATTAGCAAGGTCGAGTCAATCGGGTTAACTCGACTAACTCCACAGAAATTGACGAGTTAACTCGGCGTAATCGGACGAGTTAGGCGCCTAGGCGGCCAGTCTCCTAGGCAGGAGCCTAGGGCGGAAATCGCCACGGCCTATGGGCGCCTAGCGCCTAGGCGCCGATTACTCGGTGCCTAGGCGGGAATTTTACAACCCTGCCTAATGCATCCCCTCATATAGTAATGCGGATTTCTCTTATGAACCCAAAAGAAAAAAAATCTACAATAATGGGCCGTGCTAGTATGATGCATGTGCTACCACTTGGTGGCCTAGAGCGGCCCATTACTGTAGTTTCACGGGCCGTGTCAGCATGGCCCAATTGCCATATCTCGCATCAATGCATCATCCACCATGTTAACGGCAAATTATGCTGTGCATCCGTATGCACCATGCATGGTGCATACGGATGCAAAAACGATGTCGTTTTAATAAAACGCGCGTCTCTTCTTAAATTAAAAAATCAGGTTCGATTCCCAGCAACAACATATGAACTAAAATTCCATAATCGATGAACTATAATTCCATAATCTAATCTATGAACTAAAAATTCTAGAATGAATGAACTAAAATTCCATAATCTATAAACAAAAATTTCAGAATCGATGAACTACAATTCTATAATCGATGAACTATAATTCCATAATCATTGAACTATAATTCTATAATCATTGAACTAAAATTTAAAAATGAATGAACAATATAATGTTGTTGCTGGGAATCGAACCTGAATTTTTTTTAAAGGGGAGACGCGCGTTTTTTAATAAAACGACGTCGTTTTGGCATCCGTATGCACCATGCATGGTGCATACGGATGCACACCATAACGATTGCATGTTAACCATCAATCGTTATGCTCTGCATGCTGGACTAGGCACTGTTATCTTCTTTTTTTTTTTCTTTTTTTTTTTTTTTTTAAATTTCAGATTCGTTATAGGAGTATATGTTCATAATTGTATTATTATATGTTCATAATTATAAGTTCATAATGTCAGAGCTCTATGTTCATAATTCAATAACTGTACATTCATACTTCCATAACTGTACATTCATAATTCCGTAACTGTACATTCATAATTCAATAACTGTAACTTCATAATTTTGGAAGCTCTATGTTCACAATTTTAAAGATCTATGTTCATAATTTTATCACTATATGTTCATATTGTAAGTTCATAATGTCAGAGCTCTGTGTTCATAATTCCATAATTGTATATTCATAATTGCATAACTGTACATTCATAATTGCATAACTGTACATTCATAATTCCGTAATTGTACATTCATAATTCAATAACTGTAAAATCATAATTTTCGAAGCTCCATATTCACAATTTTAGAGCTCTATGTTCATAATTTTATCACTATTTGTCTATAATTGTAAGTTAATAATGTCATAATTCTGTATTTATAATTTTATAACTTACATTCATAATGTCATAACTGTACATTCATAATGCCATAACTGTACATTCATAATCCCATAACTGTACATTCATAATGGCACAAACGAATAACGCCGTTAACGCCGAGACAAAATCAAATTTTTTTTTTTTATAACTGAAATGACGCGTTTTTTCTTAAAAACGACGTCATTTTGGACTCGTGTCCACAATTCATTGTGGACACGGGTCCAGGGCATAATTTGCCGTTAACCTTAGCATAAACAATCCACTATTTCCCTATTCATTAAATAACCAAAGCTATGTCATACTTTAGAAAAATCATTCTAATAATACTAAGTGTTGTAATGTTGTTTGTTTGTGCCCGTTGGCCATTAGCTCTAACCGATGAACTTTGCAGGAAGAAAGATATAGACAAAAGTGAAAGAGGGGAATGATTTCATTCATCAACCTCACTTACATTGTACATGGGAATATATATAAGATAATCGTAACGGTAAACATAATGAGGACATAAATATGTCCGTTACATAATAATGTCCACTAATTATATATATTTATAACACTCCCCCTTGGACATTATTTGTCCATAGTCTTGCCTCGTTAAAAACTTGCTAGGAAAACCCGGTGGGAAAAACCTAGACAAGAAAAGAGTACAATAGAAAATATATTCATGCCTCATTAAAAACTTCACTAGGAAAACCACGTGGGAAAAACCTAGTTGAAGAAAAGAGTACATGATATATGTAAAAACATATATTGTATTTGGTCGCCTCATTAAAAACCTTAACTTAAGAAAACCCTGTGGGAAAAACTTAGTTAAGGGAAAAAGAGTACAACCATAAGCTTTCAGGGCGCAAACCGCATAATCTTCAGGATTTTGGGGTTTGTCTATTTAAGCAACTTTTCCTCATTGTCATTACTATATCATACTCGTGCCTCGTTAAAAACCACACTAGAAAAACCCATTGGAAAAAAACCTAGTGAGGAAAAGAGTACATGGTATGTATATGCTACAAAAAATTATAATTATTAGTCCTTTTAAGACCCAATCTACAGGATTGATTCGAGTGAATATACACGCTGCAAAAAGTGCAACTATTAGTCCTTTTAAGACCCAATCTACAGGATTGATTCGAGTGAATATACACGCTGCAAAAAGTGCAACTATTAGTCCTTTTAAGACCCAATCTACAGGATTGATCAATCTACAAGATTGACTCGAGTGAATGTACTTCTCGTCTCCCCCTGAAGATAACAATCTTCAAATTCTACATTGTTTAAAGTAAAATCATTGTTTCAAAAGAGAAGGGATATGGTACAATCTTCAGGATTGTCATTAGAATTTATCAAGGGATGTGGCACAATCTTCAGGATTGTCATTAGATTTTATCATATTTTCTCATGATCATCTGGACCAATAAAAATTATTTATAGTTTATATTTGTTGCTCCCCCTAAATATAATAATTTTCTTTACCTACGCATATCAATCTTATGCATATTTTGTAGGTGTACATTTGCTAACTTGTCACTGGAGCAAATCTTTTGGACAAATATTTTATCACTCTTCTGGAGTTTATATCATGAAACCTATATACGTTCATTTGTCCAAGTATGATGACTTCATGTCAAAAAGCATCAATATGAATATTTGTACCTTGACTTGCTATTCCTAATCTCATCGCATAACTTAACAGTCGCTATAACCAAGCGAGAGCATAATAGAGTAATGATGAGATGAAAATGTACAAAGCACATCTACAAGAACAAGTATTATTCTTTAGGCTTAAGATGCTTTAAAGCTTAAATTGATTTATAATATATCAATCCAAGTCATGACATTTAACAGAATGCCAATATTCAAATGACTTCTCGAAAGACATATTTTATACCGTAAGGATATTAATGGATATTATTTAACATCATTTCCTTTTCTTTCTAGGAGAATCACCAAATCGCTCTTTACAAAAAATACGCGAATTTGGAAATTTTCGGTCTCAAAGAAAAGGTAAAAAAATGACGTTTTGAAGCAGCGGACTTCTGGTCCTGAAGTATCCTTTTAGGTAAAAATGGTCTTTATCTACTTCGGGAGATTATTTGGACATAGACTAAATAGTATGTAAAATTCCTTTTAAG